TGCATTTTCAACTGAGTCATAGATCAATCCAAATCCAGTAGATTTCCCTCCTCCAAAGTGTGTACGGAACTTGAAGACAAAAATAGCGTTGGGATCTTTTACTTCATACATTCTTGCCAACTTCTCCTTCAAGTCAGCCTTTGAGACATTTGCCCTTCTAGGATGAAGAACGTCAATTACAAATTGCTTCCTCGAGAGAAGACAATTGGTCTTAAACTTCCTTGACCTGATGGTAACCGCCTTGTCCGCCATTTCTTGGATTTGATTCGCTCCCGGCGTCTCTCTGCTTCCACCTGCGTCTCTTTGCTTCCGCCTGCGTCTCTCTCAGTGACCTGTGATCTCAAAAAGTTGTGGTTGATGTTTGAGTATAATAAAGTGAAATGATGTAAACCACATTTTTCTTTCCAAAAAAGGAAATAAGATACTTATTTTGGGATAACCCAAAAAAGAAAGTAGGACATGTAAAATGGGACGGAGGGATACATTTTTGTAAAAATCAAATTATAAATATAAAGAGTTAGAGCAATTGGAGAAAAATAACCCTTCAAAAATTATTTATTTCAATCTAATAACTACATATACTAAACAAAAAATATACTCCCTCCGTCCCAAAAACAACTTCCCACTTTCCTTAAATGGATGTCCCAAAATTAACTTCACAGTTCAATAATTTCCTTATTTGGCAAATTATCTACCTCAAAAAAGTGCCAAACAGTGTCAAACAATGTCCAAACAGTGCAAAACAGTGCACTCCACAGTAAAGTCAAATTTATTTTCTTAATTTGTGTGAATGTCAAACTGTGAAGTTGTTTTTGGGACGGAGGGAGTATTAAACTGGAATATATGAGAATAAAATATTCTAAGCACTTCAAATCAATACAATAAAATTGTTTAAAAATTATCTAATAACTTCATAATCATTCCTAAAATTGGGTAAAGAGTGGAACATCGTAAATGAAAGTGGGGAAAATTAAAATAGTGAATTTGTATGTGTTAAAATTTGATAAATTTACATTTGCCTAAATGTTATGTCAGTCTTTCTAATTAAGGATATTTTCATTGGGATGTCACAAATCTATATATTCTGAGCTCTTTTTGTAAAGGACTAATTGGCAAAATTTTAAAACCTAGAAGGCCTAATGCTATAAATAAGTAATTTTCCATTTGTAAAACTAATATAAAACACGAAATCATTTTATCCCGTGCGCAGCACGAGTAATGTTTTTTAAATTGGGTGTCCCAAAAATGTAGCTTCTACTTTCTCCTGTCTTGCAAGTGTCCTTTATGTTTTCGGTTTTTTTTTTTTAATTCTTAATTGACTTATTTTGTTGTTTCAATTTGAGTTATTTTTTGATAAATGTTTTAGAACTTAATATGCCTTTATTGCAGCATGGAATTACGGTACATAATAATGAGATCTCAAATTTAAAGATTGGATCTATTTTAAAAAGGATAAGTTCCCTAAACAGGAGAAAAAAAGTTTTGAAATTCGAAAATAGGACTGCGTGATTTTTATTCCCTAAATAAAAGTAATTTGTACAAAATTTGACATTATCAAACTTATAACATGACAGTTTTTGCTATGTTTTTTTCAAACTTGGTAGAAATTACTCCTATTTAGTGAATAAAAACATGAAGATCCAATTTTAGAATTTCAAAATGTTTTTATTCATATTTAAGGCAATCTCTGTCTCAAAAAAGTCTTGAGCCCTAAACTTCCATATTTCCTACGTTTAAAATTAATTTTATTTTTATATATGCAATATTGGTGTCATATAAAAGAGAGACCCTATAAAAGATAATAAAAAATCATTAATTTTGATATTTTTTTTTTCAAAATTGAATTACAAATAAAAAAGTTATATCAAATAAAAAGATTGAGAGATTTTTTTGGGGTGGGGTCCCATGAAGTATTCTTACTTGAGTACAATTCCATAAACTAATCACTAAATTAACGTATAAGGATTAAGGAGAATTGTAATCCTCGTATAACATAAATTGCAAAGTAACGTAGTATAATTAATTCATATACTAAATTGGAAAGAGAATTTTAAATATTATAATAAACTTTTATTTAGAAGATGACACATGGCAAAACTTTCCATAATTGCATCTTTGAAATGTATTATTTATAGATGTGAAACGATTAAAAATGCATTAAGGCCCGTTAACCATTAAAAATACTCCGTATAATTTTCTACCGAACTTGTAGCGGTAGTTGATGACTGTAATCAATAACGTACTCCGTATAAATTGTAAATGCACCATTGTTTTAATAACTCAAATAAATAATTAAAAATTTAAAATACACCATTAACACCCACTTTCACATTGAAAGAAAATTTTTATTTTAAATGCGTGTCCTACGTAATATCTACGGCCGGAGTACTTCGTATGAAAGTAAAATTGTATAATACGTCTCCTATATAAATGTTACCAAAAAATCACTTCTGATCCAATAACCACTAAACAAAAAAAATGATACTTTACTCTTCTAACCCCATCCCCCATTCCCATATTCACCTGATCTTAGCTTATTTAAGCAAATCGGACACGTACAATTTGATAAAAGTTGAATTCAAATATAATTAAAAAATACGTTAATTAAATGCGGAGCTATAATAATAATAATAATAATAATAATAATAATAATAATAATAATAACTAGTGTAACACCCGGGGCATGCCCCGGGAGTACTATAATGTTAAAATGAATTAAAATGAAAATTATTTAGCTTTGGGCACAAAATTTAAGGGAGAATAGTAGGGGTAATGAATAGTATAGAAAAAGTAGGAGAGAAAATGAAAAAGTAGGAAAAAAGAGGATAAAAAGTAGAAAAAGTAAGTGTAATTGAGTATTTGTAAAGGAAAAATTTACCCAAAAAAGTGTATGGAACTTTTAAGTACATCCCAAAATGAGAGTGTATGGAACTTTAAAATAGGGAGGGAGTGTTTACATAACTATTTATAGAGACTGTTAGTTATTTACATAGCAAGTTTCATCATTTTGTAACGTGATATTAGGACTTTAGAGTCCTACATGAAAGAAAGTGATGTAATATAAATTATATTTTTGTATATCTAGATTAAAGTAGTTAATTTATTAGTTCCCTATTAATGATACATGTAAATTAACCGTGATGTAAAGTGATAATAGGATTCATATCCTACTATAAGTGGTGTCATTATTATTTTTTGTATATATAAATTAGAAATTGTCCTAAATAGAAGTAAAAACGTTTTGAAATTCAAAAATAGCACTTTCATGTTTTTATTCCCTAAATATGAATAATTCTGTCAAGTGTGAAAACAATGCCATGTTTAAAACTAGTAATGTCAAACTTGGCAGAAATTTACTCATATTTGGAGAATAAAAACATGATAGTCATGTTTTGAAATTTTTAAAACCTTTTTACTCCTATTTAGAGATTCTTTCTATCCAGATTAGAGTTAGCACACGTAAATTTATCATTTTGTAAGTCTAGATGAATGTGGTTTTATTTAATTTTTTGTTTGCCAATGAGGGAATGGCAATTAAGTTATTCATAACTCATTTTTACTATATTATACAGTATATTGTTTTATTTTTTTTATTTTTAATCCTTTTTTTTAACGATTTTAATCCATTTTTTTTATATAAATTATAGCATTTTTTTCACAATCTTTCATATGTTACCAATATTGGATAAGAAAAAAACCAACCAAAATAGATATTTAGGAAAAAAGTTTTTATCATTTTTGAGGAGACTCTTACTTAATTATATGATCTTCTAAAACGTTAATTAACTTAGAAATTAAATTCTGTGATAATAGAATTTTCGTTGTCAATGAGAGAGTCACACATATTGATTATAACTCAATTTTGATATATAAAACAATAGATAATTATGTAATTTGTTTATTAGTGTTTTAGGGTAAAGTTTTACTCAGCATTTTTTTCTCATTTATCATTTTGGAATGTCACAAAAAAAACTATTTCTCTTTTAGGAAAGTTTTATATGACCAACATCATCATTTTCTTTTTCGTTCTCAACCATAATTATACATTTCCACTTTATTTCTACTTTCTTAAACATCCATCTAAGTCAAACTGGGGAAAAGTTTTATTACACAGAGGGATGACATTTTTATGAATAGCGTTGTAAAAGTGTAATTAATATTGAGAAAAAAATTGAGGTTAAGTAATTAATATTGTATCAATTTAAGTAAAAATAATGTATTGATGCATCATGTCGATTTAGATATCATAATTGAATATGGATATGGATTAGATTAAAAAACCAGCCGTTCAAGTCTTTAGACCTAGTCACCCAGATTCCGAAAATTCTGCCGCACCCATAGTGCAAATTAATTAAATACTTATTAAATATTAATAAAATAGAGTTTTTGTTAACCAATAAGAAAGTGTCACATCACTGTTTTATAACTCAGCTTTACTATATAAAACAATAGATAATAATAATACTAATATCATCATCATCATCATCATCATCATCATCATCATCATCATCATCATCATCATCATCATCATCATCATCATCATCATCATCATCATCATCATCATCATCATCATCATCATCATCATCATCATCATCATCATCATCATCATCATCATTATTATTATTATTATTATAAGAAGTTAATAACATGAGTTGTGAACGGGATATATATTATCTTGAAGTGAGACAAAAGTAGTATGATACGAAATCTACCTTCAAATTAAAAATCACAAAATATTTGAACACGAGGGAATTAGCATTGATAATAAATTAAAAAAGCGCTTATTATATTCATCTTATCTTATTCTAGCAAATTGGACACGTACAATTTGATAGAAGTCGAATTCAAATATAATTAAAAAATTACGCTAATAATTAAATGCGAAGCTAAAATAACGTGAATTGTGAACGGTATATATCTTGAAGTGAGACAAGTGTAGTATGATACGAAATCTAGCTCCAAATTAAAAATTAAAAAATATTGAAACGAGGGAAATAGCATTGGTAATAAATTAAAAAAACGCTTCTTATTAAAAAAAATAAAATGTATCTTGGATGGACAATTATATCTCGGTCTCACAAAACACTTACCATACCCTAAAAAAATTAAATAATTAACATAAACCGGAAAATTTGAAACCCTAGATGCTGAATGTAGGCAAATACATATATTTAATATTTAATTAAACTCTTGATGCCGGGAGTTGAACCTCTGCCGGTTTATCATCAGCCGGACGTTTGTAGATCCAAGCATAGTAAGCATACACTATCAGTTGAATCGCTCCGGCTATTGCTCCTAGACCATTGCTAATCTGCATACATATTATTTATTTGGAAATATAATAAATAATGGGTTTTTTATTTAATTTTTTGACTTAATTAAGCATGCGTTAAGGATTATAGAATAGAATACTCTAAATAAGAAAATTATTAAATTGGATATTACCAGGAGGAAAACATCAAGTCTTTTGATAAGAGCATAGCATGTCCAGCACAACCCATTTGCGAAGCAAGTCAATGAGAGCCAAAATGGCATATATTTTACACTTTTTGTTTCATAAACTTTTTTCTGCATGCAGTTAGATATAAAGAATTATGTTTGACAGGGTATCAATTAATTAATCACAATTTATTATCAATTTTTATGTTAATTAATCAATACTGTATGTATTAATTTGCATCTTAATAACACGAAATAGAATTTAATTTGCACAGTACAACAGTATTAATTATATATAATTGATTAATGAACAACTAATAAGTAATAACCTAATAACTATAATAGTAACGAAATACTCCGTGTTATATACTAATAATATGAATATAAATTATATACCACGACGAGTAATGGTGAAGAATACATCATGATGTTGAAGATATCAGCGAAAATTCCTACAACAAAAGCTCTATTTTCCAGCTTTCGGATGCAAAGTAGGGTGAATAGCGCGAGTCCACCCACGAAAAGTACTTCTCCCAAAAGAAAAATTCCAATTCTTTTCTGCATGCAACAAAACATAAAATTATTAATCAATATAATCATTAACCAAAATAGCTCCTCATACAATAAAACATCAAAACGCCACCGTATTTAACACAATTAAATAATAAAAATACAAGTGCGAAATACAGTTTAAAAAAAAACAAAATCGTATAACCATCCTAAAATGTACCCGTGTTCAAGTAGCATCATCAAGCAATTCAACCAGATCAGAAAAAAATTATTAAAAATACAATGACGATCGGTCGTTATTAAAATTGAATTACTTATTTTTCGTTTTAAATCAAGTAATTAATTCACATAATCGTTGTGATATGATTAAATTAATTAACATATAATTCTCTAAAAACACGATATTACGGTGATCAAAATTCACAGAAGAATTGGCAGGATATGTCATATCCGTGTCAAAAACATTTTGACACGGGCTATATGTCATGAATACATACTCTTGATCTGTTTTGGCGGTCATAAGCGCAGTAGATTGCTACGTAAAGTAATTCAATGACGAGACCCGCACCATTGATGGTGATCACAAGGAGACTGTCGGGCTTCACAACCGGAAGGCCATAAAACACCCACAACATACAATTCAACACCGTCGCAACGTAAGGGTAAAATTGGTAACCCTCCACATCTTTCTTCTTCCGGATTTCCAGAAATGTTTTACTGCATGGGATGTGGAGATCAGTAAAACCAAATTTGTCATTTCTCCTAAAAATATTTAAAACACGTAATCATTGTAATCATGGTATTAAATAATCATTTACTCACATAGGTACGAGGAAGAGGCAGCCGGAAATAACATTCCCTGTGTATCACATAAAACGAATCAATAAAACATCATTAGACACTAGAAAAATACGGGATTGACACAATTCACCAAAATTCATAGAGGATTTGACAAAGATACGAAATCTCTGCCAAGAACACGATCTATTTGGCAGAAAATCGTGGATCATGAATACGTATATGATAATTTATTGAGACAATTCATACCGATTACACCAACAACCGTACGTATTTGTCCTGCGGTAACCATAATGATGAAGGATTATATTGAGGCGAGAGCAAAATTTTGATATGGTGGGAAGAGTGAATGGAGTGAAAATGTAGTAGAGGGATCACTATATATATAGAATTACTCGATACTGGATAAGAACATTTCAAATTAGATAGAATTGTAATGGAAGATAAAGATCAGGCCTACTACGGATGTTGTTGTACGATGTACCAAGTACCAACGTCGTACGCCGCATTTCCCTATTACGGAGTATATCTCTTGACCTAGCTTTGCTGTGTATTTGTTACTTAATCCTTCACAAATTTATAATTTTTTTTTGCTCGAAGAAGGCTTATTAATTCATAAAAATAGCATTCAGCAAGGGTACCAAACTAGAAAAGAACCACAAATAACCATCCGCCCATGGCCGAGACTGAGAGCTAACCACCTGTAAAAAAACAGTATAACTCGCTTGACCAAAATTGGGCAACTTAAAGCCAATGACGGTTACTGCAGACTTTCCCTCCTCCAACCTTAATGCAAGAGTCTTACAAGGAATAAAATCACAAAAGCAAAACATAACAAAGCAATCTAATTTAAAGTAACCACAGCAGACAATAATAAAAACATCATTGTAAGTTTTCTTCCCCACTGCCGCCCAACAGAGACAAGGCGAGTCTAGGAGACCTGACCCGCCCCCTCCCCATTTTTTTGGCCCATCCAGAGTCATCCCTTCGCCATCAGCATCCTCTTCAGTCTGGTCATCCCATATCCTTCTACACTTTGGATCTCCAGGAACCACTTCCCTATCTTCACTTTCCTGCAGTGCCGGCTTACAAATTTATAATTTGAGAAAATGAGAAAAATACAAGAAGTACTTTTTTATTTTTGAAAAGTAAAAAATACAGCCAATTTTTAACTTTTTCTACTAATTTTGGTTGATTCATTGAAAAAGGATTTTTCCTTAAATGTTACTAATAAAAAAAGTAACGGACAAAAATATCAATTACGAAGTAGTAACTATCTATCTATCTATCTATCTATCTATCTATCTATCTATCTATCTATCTATCTATCTATCTATCTATCTATCTATCTATCTATCTATCTATCTATCTATCTATCTATCTATCTATCTATCTATCTATCTATCTATCTATCTATCTATCTATCTATCTATCTATCTATCTATCTATCTATCTATCTATCTATCTATCTATCTATCTATCTATCTATCTATCTATCTATCTATCTATCTATCTATCTATCTATCTATCTATCTATCTATCTATCTATCTATCTATCTATCTATCTATCTATCTATCTATCTATCTATCTATCTATCTATCTATCTATCTATCTATCTATCTATCTATCTATCTATCTATCTATCTATCTATCTATCTATCTATCTATCTATCTATCTATCTATCTATCTATCTATCTATCTATCTATCTATCTATCTATCTATCTATCTATCTATCTATCTATCTATCTATCTATCTATCTATCTATCTATCTATCTATCTATCTATCTATCTATCTATCTATCTATCTATCTATCTATCTATCTATCTATCTATCTATCTATCTATCTATCTATCTATCTATCTATCTATCTATCTATCTATCTATCTATCTATCTATCTATCTATCTATAAATAATACATTTCAGAGATACAATTATGGAAAAAAATTTCATGTGTCATGCTCTTAGCAATCTCTTAATCATAATTTTCTAGATTCTCTTTCTAATTTAAAATTATGTTCTTTTTGTTATAATTTAATAATTTTCTAATTTAATAATTATCTTTTTAAAATTATGTTCTATCTTTTTTTAACCCGGAAGGCAAACCACCAAAATCGGTGGGGTAAATGCCGGGGAACATTTATCATGTTTTATTAAAGATAATAAAAAGAATACAAATGAAGAGGAGGACTATACCAATACCTCTCCCGGAAAGGCATACCTTCCCAAAGTACATGAAAGTAAAGGAAAAAAAATGTAAGAGACAAATACTTTGGGGGGCTAGACCTGACCCAAAGCTACAAGAAAAACTCAACAAATTCTAAAATAAGAAAGACCTAACTGATCAGCAATTAAATAGCGCCTATTATAGCACGGAATCTGTCTGATAGAATCAATAATAAGAAATTCATCTGAAAAATGATTAGACATAAAATGTGCTGGCCAGTTCACCTCGCGAAAATTATGTCTGAACCTTATCTTATCCTCGACCATCCACCTTCTAAGCTCCAACACCATCTTCCTCCATCTTCCTGTCATAAAATTATCACCAAAAACTTCAATCGCCTGAAATGAATCGGACTCCACCTCAAAAGATCGATACCCATTATCAATTGACCAAGATACCGATCTGTAAATCGCTAATATCTCTGCCTTTAGAGCCGACTTTGCTGAGATAGAGAAATGAAGAGCAAAAATGAACTCCCCTGACCTGGATTACATCACCGCTCCTCCTGCCGCCCTACCATCAGCAAAAGAAGCGTCCACATTGAGCTTGAATTCTAGTTCAGGTATCTTCCATCTTAATATATGAATACTCGGTTTGGCTACCTTGAAAGTTTTAAGCAGAAGATGCTCTTCATAGAGAATCGGTTCAGGAAAGCCAATCTTAAGCTTTGAGAGTTTCGCCTCAGACCATTCCTGACTGAAATTTTTAATTTGCTGAATAATCTGCCTGTATTCTGGGATATTATTGGAGTCACCCCAATTAATATTACAATAAGCCTTCCATATGTGCCATTCTATAATACCTGGGATATTGTGTTTGTAGATGTCCATTATCGTTTTAGAACCTGCCTCCAACCACCAGAAGTAATTCCAAATTTGCATAATGTAGGAACACATAAAAAGAATATGGTCCATCCTATCAGATTCTTTCTTGCAAAATGGACAAATAGTAGGAAAGAGAGTAATTCTAAATCAGCTCAAATTATCTGGAAATGGCAATATTCTATTCAGCATTTTCCATTGAAATATATAATTGTATCTTGCTATGTTGATATTTGTTGCAGGCATGAGAGAATGAGAAGATATCATTCTTCCTTCTTCTAACAATATGAAAGGCAGATGACAGAGTGAAGACTCCATTCTGCTCAGGTATCCAATAAAACTCTCCCGCTTGATCTTGAGAACAGAATGTGGTCGCTACCGGATGTATCTTACAAATTCTTTTCCAAATAGCTGAGTCCGTAGTCTTAGGAATCATGTCACTTCCCCTCGGGTATCTAGAATGACAGAATTTAGCCCAATTAGAGTCATTACACCTCCATTTCCACCAGAGCTTCAGGGAGTAAGCTAATTCAATATCTCTGAGTGCTCGAATTCCTAGACCACCTTCAGAAGTAGGCAAGCAGATATCACTCCATCTGATCCAATGATATTTAGGCTTGCTTTTGTTAGTACCCCATAAAAAGTGAGCCATTTTTTTCTCCGGAATCTTCACCACAGATTTTGGTAAGGAATCAACGGTTAGAATATGTAAAGGGATAGTGTTCAAAACATGCTTAATCAAAACAATCCTCCCTCCTTGATTAAGGATTCTTTGTTTCCAAGTAGTCAGCTTCTTATCAAAAGCTTGAATGATGTCTGTGCAGTAATTCTTTCTGTTTGAACCTTTATGCAGATTAGCTCCCAAATATTTCATTGGCAAGCTAACTTTGGTCATACCTGATAGTCTCTCCATTCTCCTGATTCTAGCCAGAGAAGTTTTCCCACAACCAAAACTGCTTTTATTAAAGTTAATAGCATGTCCTGATGCTCTTTGGTATAACCCAATAAATCTTTTAAAGTTCTGGATGGATCTAGCCTCCCCATTTAAAAAAATTAGTATGTCATCCGCAAAACATAAATGTGAGACTGTCTGCCCATGCTGACCAATTCATAAAGGTTTGATGATGTTAGAGACCATAAGACTTTTCCGACCTCTTGAAAATGCCTCAGAAGCTAGAATAAAAAGGAAGGGGGATAAGGGGTCTCCCTGTTTCACCCCTCTTGCTGGTTGAAAGAACCCGTTAGATGTCCCATTTATGAGCACTGAGAAATATGTAGCCCTCAGATGATTCATTACCAAAGAAGTAAACTTTTCTGCGAAACCAAACTTTGATAGGATAGCTTGTAAAAACTCCCAAGATAACCTATCAAATGCTTTTGCCATATCTAATTTCACAACCAGATTAGTTCCTCTTATTTTCTTTTCCATTGAATTGGTCATTTCTTGAGCCACCAGGACGTGATCATATATGTCTCGCCCAGTCATGAACCCTGATTGTTCATTTGAAATCAACTTTGGTAAAATGAAATCAACTTTGGTAAAATAGATGATAATCTAGAAGATAAAATTTTGGTGCAAACATTACTTATGAAATTAGATAGGCTAATTGGCCGGAAGTCTGCAAAAGTAGAAATTTTATCTTTCTTAGGAGGTAGCAGGACAATAATAGAACTCGCCATAGCCTTGGGAATGTGATTTCCTTGGAAGAAATCCCGCACAGCCTTAAGAACATCCCAACAAACACTATCCCAGCAATGACGAAAGAAAATTCCATTATATCCATCCGGACCAAGAGCCCCTTATTTATTTAAACCCCAAACATCCTCCTTTACTTCCTGCATGTTAGGTAGATTTAATAGCATATTGTTATCATGCTCTTCAACTAATCTTGGCACATAATGTAGTATTTCCTCCATGTCTTAGATTTGTTCTTCAGCAAAAATATCATGAAAGTATTCTTCTGCTACCTTGCCAATAGTTTCAGGGTCTGAACAAAGATTCCCAGCAGAATCTTTAATAAGAGATAAGTGTTGCATCCTTCTTTTAATATTCACAAACTTGTGATAGAAGTGAGTATTGGAATCTCCTTCTTTCAGCCATTTAAGATGAGCCCTTTGTTTCCAAAAGGATCTTTCTTGTTTGTGTTTATTAAGAAGTAAAGCATGTTTAAATGACCAGTTATCTCTGTTGATATATGAAGGATCAACTTCAAATACTTTTTCAGCTTCAGCAACCTCCTCCAATTTTTTTATATCAGAAAAGATATTTCCAAAACAGCTTTTATTCCACTGTTTAAGAGATTGTTTAAGAGCCTGCTGCTTATCATATAAACCCCTCATACCCCCTCCAGTCTTACAATCATTCCAATAATTCTTAACAGTTTCTAGGAATGTCTGGTGAGAAATCTACATATTCTGGAATCTGAAAGCTTTTGGCCCCACCATTAATTGATTTTTGCTTTGAATCAGGATAGGAGAATGATCTGAAGAAGTTCTGTTGAGGTGCTTGATCTGGATTGAATAAAAAAGATCTAAAAATGTTGAATTGAGGAGAATTCTATCCAGCTTTCGCCACTCTTCCATTAGCTCTAACATCCGTCCATGTGAAGGAGCTTCCATGAGTAGGTAGTTCCACTAAGTCACAATTTGAAATACAATTCTTGAAATCAAGCATGCTAATCAAGGGGGTAGAGATGTCCCTTTGTGTTCATTATGGTTAGCTATTGCATTGAAATCACTTCCAACCATCCATGGCTCCTTATTACAATCTGCCCATCCTGATAAAAAAACCCCATAAATCTCTCCTTTCAAGATAACTACGACTCCCATACAACAGTAAGCCAATAGAAGAGATTCCCAGAATTCACTTTCATATGAATAATTTTAATTTTAAAATTATGTTCTAAAATTTAAAAGTAATTTAATAGCCATTAATTCTAGATTACTTGAAAACTCTTCGGTTGATTACAATTAGAATTGCTAAAAATGAGAACTCCATGTTAGATAGAATTCAACAAATTAAACAAGCATTCCTTAAAGTAACGACTAACAATTAATAGCGTAAAGCAATTTGAATATCAACGAATATTTATAAAATTTATAAACTGCACTCAAACGTTTCGTTAGAAATTTAGATTTTATTTTTAATTTAAGTGAACCTTAATTATGCAATGTCTTTGAAATCTTATTTTAATGTAACATAGAGTGTCTAAGATTTTTTAAATTACTTAGGGTGTTTGGAAAATGGCTTTTCAACAAAAAAAATAGTGGTTTGACCTCGCATTTCTAATAAGTGAAAACAATGTTTGGTAAATAGTTGTTCGACCCTAACATTTTTGGACGGAACCGATTAAATGAAAACGCTGCAAATAGTAGAGTTTTTTTATTTTGAAGTATGATTTTTTTTATTAATTGTTATGTCCAAACAACTAAATTATCAAACACTTTCTGACAACCCGCGCGCTAACTTATTCTGCTAGTCAAACCCGTTGACTAGATTAATTATTGGTAACCAACTAATATAATTCGTTATCCGATAACCGTTGAATTCGAAACACGCCCGTAGTGTAAATGTACTTGTATAATCTAACGTAAATTTCACTTGTGTTGAATTGGGTTGGGCCTTTAGTAAATTTTTGGGTTGGGCCTTTAGTTTATTTGTTTTTGCTTGCTTGCTTTTAGTTCATTATTTTCCCTTCCTCGTCTTTGTACTTTCTTTTGCTTATTATTAATAAAATTTCTTTAAAAAATAACCTAAATTCTAATTTAACAAATGTTTGAATTCTAATGGTGAAAACAGTAACATGAATTTTAATTTAACTTCTATCCAAATTTTGAATTTTGTTCAATTGTTTAGTACTCCGTATAACGATATGGAAGAAAGGGTCTTTTAAAAACTCCAACTTTGTAGTTTGTAGGAATGTAGGATTCTAATCTAACACGGAACTAATATGAGAAGTCTAATTTTTGGAATTATAATTAACGGAGGAGAATAACAGCGCAAATTATACCGTGGGATCGGCCCACCGTGTGGATGGTGTGCCGATCCCTAAACGGTGTAGTTTTGCTTAGTTAAAAAAATTAGATACGAAGGATACAGAGCAACGACACAAACCTGGAAGCGCCAGATCCAGGAGAGCCCCCTTCTCGAACTCGCTTCCCATCCATAGACCGCCACCGTTTCCGCCGTTGTTCTACCTCTAATTTGCGCTCCGTCACCATCGCAGCATCATGAATCACCACCACAGCGGACACCAGACTCTTACTCCCAAACCATGCCACAAGGTCATCGAGGATGAGGGTGAAGGGGATACAGATGGGAATCAGATCAGGCAAATGGATCTATGACAATTCATAGATTCAGATTATGCTGATGGTATATGGCCAATTCTTGGGGAGTAACAGGACGAATGATATAACACTGGAAATTGATTTCAAGTCTAAAGCAAGAAAAGAAGAAGAAATTATATTTTGATTAGGCTCAAGTTACATTTGAAAATATACCCAGTTACATTTTTTTGTTCCCGAGTTACATTTCTTTATCCGTGATTTACATCATTATGTACACGAGTTACATTTGGACTCGTTTTAGCAAGTTACATTATGTATAAACGTGAGTTATATTTTCTATCAACACTAGTTACATTTTCCATAACACGAGTTACATCACAAAATAAACTCTAACTATTGAAACAAAAATTTCATTTTTTTACAAAATAAATGGTTTTTGGCAAAAAAAAGATATTTAAAAAATATTTTTATGGCCTTAATATTAAAAACAAAACATATTCACTATTTACGTAAAGTGATTGAGCAATTAGACTTCTTGTTTTCATTGTTTACATTGAAATTAATGTTGTATTTCTTATACTCCGTATTACACAAGTTACATTTTGATTTGCCTGAAGTTACACTTTTTCTCAACGTGAGTTACATTTCTTTTCACGTGAGTTACATCACCCGGCACAAGGGAAAAAAAAAGTTACTGTTCACTCGCGCGTGAACAGTAACACGCGAATTTGCCTTTGGGAGCACCATGCTCACCGTGGGTTGCTCCCACGGTATAACAACTCGAATAACAGACATGATGTAGGGACAGGGGCGGACCTAGAGATGGCAATTTCGGCCGACCTATTTTAAGGATCTTTTTAAGCATAGACGTCATGTCTTTTTAGTTTTAAGGATGCTTTCTTTTGGGCTGTTTTTAGTCCCAGATCAGACCAGACTTCCATAGTTATAAAATACACAGAGACCAGTCGTTTACCAGACCAGACCAAAAAATTTCAGTCCAAAAGAAAACATCCTAAAGTGCTATTACCCTTTAATGTTACTCCTTTTTTGAATTTTTGAAGTGCAATTCGCAGCCCCAAGTTTTCACATCATCAATTTCACTCCTCGGATGTTTTTTTAAAGACGTGTGTTATTAATTAAACACTTTTTACTCCGTACAACATGTTTCTAAAGATAGACTTATTGTTATTATTATTATACTAATTATTAGTTATTATGGTTACTTTTGTTATTATTTTAACATGTAGCTGTTAATTGTATTATCTAATATTTCAATTACTTAACTGTGTAAACTTCAATTTTACTATTTTCAATGCATCTTATCTTACTACGTATTTTATATTTAAGTAATTGCTCCCAATAGGAGTAAAACATAACACATTTCTCTAAATAGGAGTTAACTCCTAATCTTCCCCAAATAAAAGTAAACATTAATTTGTTACCCCTAACACCCGGCCTATTCTAATTATTTATTGCTCCCTAGTTCCCTTGGGCAACAAGGGCAGTCCGTCGGCGGCGGGGCAGGGCGTTGGTAGCGACGCCAATCCGGTGGTGGTGGTGGCAAACGGAGGGGGCCGGCGGTGGAGCTCTGGCGACCGGTGGAACCCTATTGTAATTAATTATCGCCCCTAGTTCCCTTGGGCAACCAAGGCAGTCCGTCGGTGGCGGGGCAGGGCGTTAGTAGCGGGGCAGTCCGGTGGCTGCGGTGGCAGACAACGGCGGGGGCGGCGGAGCTCCGGCGGCTGTGACGGTGGTAGGAAGCATGGGGAAAATCCGGAAATTTTTTGCCTTGCCGGAGCTCCGGCGGGGGAAGTTCGACGAGCTCCGGTGGCGGCAGTTCGGCGAACTCCGGTCGGCCGGCAGTACTGTAGCAGCAGGCAGCTGCATGCAGCAATAGGCAGGGGCATCCTTGTCCATTTAGAAAAATACTCCTATTTTGGGAATTTTAAAAAACTCTACTCCTATTTTTGCACAACTTCTATGCCTTACTCCTATTTTGGTAATTGTCCCCTTGTATTTTTATTCTCCTTATCTTTCCTTTTTTTTTTTAATTCTAATACTCCCTCCGTCCCGCTAAGATTGTCTCATTTTACCTTTTCGGGAAGTCCCACTAAGATTGTCCCATACCAAATTTGGTAAAGATTGTGTGACTCTAAATCATTCTTACTTTATTCTTAATTTATCAATTTAATATCAACCACACAAACTCACTTTTCTTAATAATTGTGCCACCTTCTCTCGTCCCAATCTTAGTGGGACGGAGGTAGTATCAAGGATCGATTCATGTTAGCCTACTACAAAATATTTTGAGATTAAGGTTTGGATGTTGTTGTTGTATTCAACAAATCAATTTTCTACTACGTATTATATTTCATTTTGAAATTTGCAACTTTATAGAACTTGCAATATATTTCCCAAATATGTTTGTATCTTCCAAAATAGGACTATTATGTTTTTTATTCCCTAAATAGGAATAACTAATGTTATTTGTTGGCAGCATCAGACATTAAATATGATAGTATTTCCAAGCTTGACAATAAATGCTTCTATTTGAGGAATTTTTCGTACTCTATGTGCATACACCGACCTCTGATGCCTAGATCAGCCACTGTGTAGGGAGCTTTTAATTACTTCTAAATTTATGATAAAGTTGCTTATTAGAACATGACACATGGCAAAACTTCCTGTAATTGTATCTTTGAAATGTATTATCTAAAGATAATTAATTATAGTGTGTTACAATAGAATTGAGGTGAGATTAGAATTGTTATTATTACATTATTTTAATTTAATTAATATGTTGGAATTCTACATTCTCTATTTTTAAATTGATATAACTTTTTATTTGTAACTTAATTTTGATAAAAAAAAATATATTAAAAAATTATGATTTTTTTATTATCTTTAATATGACACCAATATTGAATATGTAAAAATAAAAAGAATTTTGTATATACGATACCTGGAGGTTTTTAGGCTCAAAACTTTAAAATTAAGATCTATTGATTTCAGGAGGCAATTAGGGGATGTTTTATTTATTGGCTTAAAATGTCCACAAAGGAACATTAAATTCTGAAATATCTATTTACGAATTCAATTTGAATCAACAAAACCACTCAGTTAAAGCTTTCTTAAAAATCGAAAAACATAAGGGATGTTGGCAAGTCAAGAGAGTAGAAGCTACATGGTTGGGACCTCCAACTTAAAAAAAAAAACTTTTTAATTTGGTATAACTTTTTATACTTATAATTTGATTTCAACAAGAAAAAGCACAACATTCAGCAGCCGCAGCAGCAAATAATTATAATAATAATAATAATTATTATAATTATAATTATAATTATAATTATAATTATAATTATAATTATAATTATAATTATAATTATAATTATAATTATAATTATAATTATAATTATAATTATAATTATAATTATAATTATAATTATAATTATAATTATAATTATAATTATAATTATAATTATAATTATAATTATAATTATAATTATAATTATAATTATAATTATAATTATAATTATAATTATAATTATAATTATTTTAATAATAATAATAATTTTTTATTCTTCTAAACCTATTATTCTATATGCTCAGTAAAAACAATAACAACAACATTAGTAGCATCCACAACAATAACAACAACAATCAAGCCTTAGATGGTATAAGTAGCATTACATGGTAAAAAATTGTTTTGCATATATGTATAGAAGAAGATTATAAGCGTATCTATACAACTGAAATTTGAGCTCAATTTTTTTACCATTTTGGTTTTCATTGTATAATAGATGCACTTGTTTTTTATGGATGTTTTTATATATAACTAAAGTAAAAATAAAATAATGACACATTTATTGTATTAGTAAATCTTAGTCACTATAATTATGTTTGACTTTGTACTATATAAAGTCATAGGTATAATAATTTTAGTCATATTTTTGTTCAAAAAATTTATTCCTATAAAATTATAAGAAAAATCTTCTTTTTATGGAGTATGTCCGTAGAGGCGCATCATGTCTTTTCGTTTGACATAAGTTGAATCTTTTTCGTTAAGATGGTCAATTTTTAGTTAGATAAATATAACGATTTTATAAGATTCTTAAGAATTGATTTGTATATCTTGATAGCAATTCTAAAGAATTTGAAAGCAACATGGCGACCCATATATTTGAAAGCTAATATATGCACAAGTTTTAATGAAAAGGGATAGATATTAGCTTATGCACGAACTCGTCTTATACAGTTATACTCTTCAACTTCTGGATCTTCTTTCTGGTGAACACTTTACACATCTATGGAGACTCATCAATTCAAATATGAGCTTCATCAAAATCGTACATACAAATGCCGGATCGGCCCTAGGTCCGCATCGGCCAAACCGAACCGCATCGGCCAGACTTCGTCCAGGCAGAATGCATTTTCCTACTTTATTTGTTAACTATTGTACTCAGCCCATTAGTGGCCCTATTTCGCCCAAAGAAGGCATGATTATTGTAATGGGCCTCCTAAGCCCAAGGCTAGAAGCCCAAATCCACATTTTTACCTATAAATAGACCCCAAGGGGCTAGTTATAGGGGGTTGAGAAATATAATTACTCACTTTCTCTCTCTTGCTCTCACTTCTCTCTAGAATTAAATACTCTATCACAAATCTTCTATCTTAATAATTTAAACAAAATTAAATTTGGAGTGGGTCAGGGCCTAAGTTAGCTCCCTTCTAGCTATGCCTCTGCGGTGTTGGGTTGCGGCGTGAGAATCCTTATGATTGGGGATTCAACCTTTTGGAATATCGGATTGAGCTACTCTTAGCTAACTGGTGATCAAAATATTTCTATATAGTTGGAACTAAGATGCTTATTCCAAGACAAAAATTAAAGAAAAATATGTTACCCGCAATTGTTTATTATTATGAATAACAACAATATTATAATCAAGAAATCCGACAATTCAACAATGAAAACAAATATTTAACTTACTTCACATATCTTATTATTATTGTAAGAGGAATTAACAACTTTGACTAGTAAACCGAAAAGCGCGAAAGGGGCAGAGAAGAAAGGGCTATGGTCACTTTCCAAATTGTACACGCTCGCCGGCGGCCACTTGTTGATCATCGCATCTTGCTGCTCCGATCTAAGGATGTTGTCGTACTTTGTTTTGATGTAAATCCGAGGAACGCTTTCTGCACAGTCTGTTTCCTTGAACTTAGCACTCTGTAATGCTTTTATAGGTCCTGGCCGTAGTAGCATTTCTGCTAACATCGAATCCTAAAAACAGATATATGTTGTCCCCATCATATAAATACACACACATTTACCATGTTTTTACTTGGACTAAAATTTGTTGGTCTGGTCATATCTAGTCTATTTAAGTCTGGTCTGGTCTGATAAATGTCTGGTCCATGTGTATGTCATAACTACGGAAGTCAGATCTGTATAAGTCTGATCTGGTCTGGTATGGTCTATTTAGGTCTGGTCTGAGATTGAATACAGTTCAAGTAAAAACACCCTGAGAATAACTTAAGTTATCATTACTTTTCTGAGTTTTAGCACGTTTAGTCTCCGATTATTACGTGAATGCTAGTATTCGACTTTGATTTTTTCCGTTTTTAGTCTTAGACCATTGGGCTATAGACACTTTTGATATACATCTTTGAAAATTTTCATAGTTAGCCTTTTGACTCTCATAAAAATGACACTTTTGGTCCTTCAACTATTATTATAATGACATTTTTGTCCTCCACCTATTGTGTCAAGATCATAGTAGTGAAAGGACTAAAAATGTCAATTTGATAATACTGATGTGACTAATTGGGGAATTTTCAAAGTCAATGATTAAAATGTTTAAAGCACAATAGTCGTGTACCAAGTAAAAATTAAAACGCGAGTACCAAAATCATTGACACAATAGTCCAGAACCAAAAGTAACAAAAACACTTGGTTTTCTTATTGACTTTGTTTAAGGATGTTATTTTAAATATTTTTGTGTAATACTTTTTATTAAAAAGTATCTAGTAGACAAATTTAATTGCTCTCTATGTTGGCAATCAGAATAAGCAATACGGATCCACAAGAACTAAAAGCGATTGATTGTGAATTTTAGATGTGTTTTCATGCAAAGAGATAATTATATTCGAGTCTAGAAACTCTTATAGTTACAAGGATTGTGCAATATAGACTATTAGAATTCATATATAATTTTGCTTAACTAACCTGTGATCTTACGAAGCTAAATCAGATAGATACGCCAAGTTTGTAGTTTATAAAAAACCAATTAATAGACAACCGAATGTTTTTAAGTATTAAATATTGTACGGAGTAGTTTTTGTCCAAAAGTTATAGGTCTCGTGTGATCGGCCAAAGTGAGCTTGAATATAAACTCTTAAGCTAGTAAAAGTGTGTTACTATTAAGTATATATATATTATATATATGAAGTACATGAAAAGTATCGGTATATGGTACTCCGTGTCATACAAAACTTTAACAAATTTCTTTATCCTAAAATGTTTACTATTTCCATTTTAAGTAAAAAAATACGAAGAATATGATTAGACTTTTTTCTCTTTTCTCTTTACAATTAAAATATGAGACACACAGTTTTATTTTATTATTTCACTTGTAAGTCAAAATTAACCAAATTTTATGGGATGAAGAGTCTGGAGTATTATTAAAGTAAAAGATCTGGTACATTGTATGTTTTCCTTTCAAAATAGAGTGTTTTCTCTAATTAATGCTAATTAAATAAATGTGTACGAAATTAGGGTTGGAAATATATACTCTTACTTTGCCACTTCTTATATATATAATCATTGTTTCTTGTAAACATGTGATCTTTCTCTATATTTAAATTGAATCTTGTAAATATGTGATCTTTCACTAAGTGCTTGTTGAAGGGAAAAATAGGGCTTTAGACAGGAAAGAACAATAGTCTTGTACGCAAATGCTCAAATTGAATGTCAAAAATACAAATTAAACGTAAGATTCACAAAATATGGTTGGATCAAAAGTGAAATTAGTTGTGAATTTGTAATTGAAGTTATTTTAAATTTCAAATGGAAAATAGTAATCAAATACATATTGATCAAAATAAATATCAAGACGCGACACGACAAATTGAAAAAGAAATACTACGTACAAAAGTAGAGAGTTTTGCGAGTGGGGCGTGCTGATATTTGTCTTAGGCCGTCTCCAACAGTTTACATCATTTTCTACACTAAAATGACGTAAACTATCATACAATACTTTATCTCCAACAATTTACACTATTTTTATCACTAAAAAGGAATATGCTTTTTTTGCTAATTTTTTACCATTATTATATTCAATCCTCTAAATATCATGTAATTATACATTAGTCCCTCATTTAATATGTTTTTTTTGGCATTTCACTCATTATTTCACAAATACAAGCAGCAATACTACTATAATCAATATTTCACGCAATTCACTCATTACAAATACAACAACCCAATACTTCACAAATACATCCTAAAGCCTTATAAAATTAAATATTAAAATAATATTATAATAATTCATACGTCATAAATAAAATATTACGTAAATTTAAAGCAGTAACTAAATAAATATTCTTAATTTAGTTGTCAGAATATGAGAATTCTTCCCACATTTGATCAATGGAGCTCAATATGATTGTTTTTGTCGAGAATTTGTTTACGTTGGGTAAGAAATTGAGTGAACCTCACTGCCTCATCAACTGCCACTTCAACATCTGGAACTGGGCCGGTGTATCTTACACATCTTCAACTGGTGCATGTATATCACGTTCATCCTCTATTATCATATTGTGCAAAAAACAATTCATGCACTCATTATGCCATGTAAGACTTTTTTCTTCAAAAAACGTGAAGGTCCCGCAATAATTACAAATCGGGATTGCAAAACTCCAAAGGCACATTCACCATCTTTTCTACATGCTTCTTGTCTCATGGCAAAATATTTCTTCTTTCTACCTTGTTGTTGATGAATTGTTTGGACAAGTGTTGACCACTTTGGATATATATCATCCGATAAATTGTATTCGGCATTGTACTCTTTTCCTTGAACAAAATAATGAGCAGGAGGAGCAATACCATGTGGTAAATCTAAAAAAAGATTGGATACTTCTAAAACGTTAATATCATTATTACTACCTTGCATTCCAGCTGGTCGCCGACTCACTCTCCCTTATGGGAGGTCCTGGGTTCAATTCTCAATGGAGTGAGATTGATCTCAGTTTACCCCAGGCCCCCCACCCCCGACGCCCCTTGGGGTTAAAAAAATCATAATTTGCCACCACTTTAAGGATGATAGTTGGTGAGCCACTACGATCAGAATATTGTCCTGCCTATGCCGTTGGACAGTTTTTTCATTTCCAATGCATGCAATCAAGACTTCCCAACATTCCTGGAAATCCACGTTGTTTTCCAATGTCAAGAACTCTCGCTATGTCATTATCATTAGGTCTTCTTAGATAGCGCTCTCCATATATTTCGACAATAGATCAACAAAAATATTTTCATACTTTCAATTTTTGTAGACTCGCCCATTATAACTTACTCGTTTGTTGCATCTGCAGGCACACCATAAGCCAACATACGAAATAGAGCTGTTACTTTTTGTAAAGCTGATAATCCGAGTGTACCTGTTGCACTTCTTTGTTGGTGGAAACAGTTGTCATGCTTCATAACTGCACCAACAATTTGTATGAACAAATCTCGCGACATACGATATCGTCAATGAAATAATGCTTCTTCGTAACGTGGATTTGGGGAGAAACAATCCAGGAACAAATTATGGTCTCCAATTTCTCGATCACGGTCTATCACCACATGACGATGAACTGATCCATCCTGCCTAATAGGCCTATTCAGTTCACCAATACAATGACTTATTTTCATGTTGTTGTTGTTTAATGCCACCATCATCATTTATTCTTCTTCATCAAGTTGTGCTATAGTGTTCATCACTAAAGCATCATCATATGAAGAAGATGATGATGATATGTAAGAGGATACTTGTAACACCTCGGCTCACAGGACCCGAGTTAGTTACTCCACACATCCTCCAGACCTCTAGTACTACCCTCACAAACCGTCACTAGCCTTTTCCGCGCACATTTTCCTCACTCGTGCGCGCCCTGAGAAACTTCTCAGAGGGTCACCCATCACAAGACTACTCACATGCAAGCACGCTTAAATTTGAAGTTCTCAGTATATGAGCACCCTTAAAAGGAGATGCATCTTGTTGGTATGAGTAATACTATTAATCCGTTTATATTAAATCTCAAGTGTTACAATAGTCCAATATTAAAGTTCATTTTTTGTTGATGTGGGGATCCATCTTATGTGCTAATTTGTTCATATTTATACAAGTGCACTTATTTCCAAAGATAAGAATACAATGGTCGTGAAGATAAGGAAATCCATCCAACGGGTAATCTAATGATTCTCTATCAACTTGTGTCTGAAATTGTGAGTAGTACGTGAAAAGTATGCTCATTTCAAAAGATAAGAATTCAATGGTTGTGAAGATAAGGAAATCCATCCAACGGGTACTCTAACGATTCCCTATCAACTTCTTTCTTAAATTGTAAGTAGTATGTGACAAGTATGCTTATCTCAAAAGATAAGAATCCAATGGTTGAGAAGATAAGAAAATCTATCCAACAGGTAATTTAATCTTAAGATTCTTTATCAACTTATGTCACAAATTGTACGTAGCTGACAAGTATGCTCATCTCAAAAGATAAGAATCCAATGGTTGTGAAGATAAGGAAATCCATTTAACGGCTAATCTAAGAATTCCTTATCAACTTCTACATTCTACAAATACTAATGCAATGAATTATCACACTTCATCAAAACTGTTGTCTCATAATCTATAGTATATCTTTTTTCTTTACGACCAAAATGTCTTCAAGATCAATTAGTTACACCATAACAGAAGACGCATTCTTGTGTGAAGTGTATTTAGACATTACTCAAGACCCAATCACCGGCAGATATCAATCTGCAAATGATTTTTGGTCACGAGTTGAGGCTAAATACAACGAACACCGTCAAAAGAATTATGAGCATCGTAATATACGCTCACTTCTTTCAAGAATGGATATAATAACTACTCAGACACGAATGCTGAATGAGTGTGTCAAGCAAGTTGAGAATTCGAATCCAAGTGGTGCTTCCGAAAAAATATTGTAAGTATAATATAATTTAAAGTTTCAATATTGCATTTACTATTATGTAATACAAATATTATTTTAATGATTTGCAGCTAGATCGTGCTAAAGTTTTATTTATGCAAGAACCAAAATATTCTAAAGGTTTTAAGTTTGACCATGTCTCAGATATGATTAAGAATTTTGAAAAATTTAAAGATAATGTGTCAACTGCAAGACATGTTGCTCCACAAAAAAGACAAGTTAACTAGCTATGACTCTTCACAATCAGACTCTCATCCACCATCTTCAATTTCATCATCACCTGGATTGTCATCTTCGTTCAATAAAGAAGTTAATACTGATTTTGGATCTGATTTTTTGAAACGGCTATTAGGGGTCAAAAAATCCAAATTGAAGAAGGAAATCGATGAAGACATTACTGTTTTTCTTAAGTCTGTTAAGAGCGACAATGAGCGACTTATAGAGATGTTAAAGAAATCATCGTTAGATAGACTGGAACAATTGAAAATTCAGCGACAAAATATGGGCTATAAGAACAGACAAGAGAAGATAAAATTATGTTCATGGATTTGAAATCTATTGACGATCCATAAGCGCGGGCGTATCTCATTACAGAAAGATAAAAATTTTACAAAAAAATTAATCTCAAAATAGAGACTCATCTGCGGGATTTGGGAATCTATTTGATGATTAGTAGTCACTCAATCTGCTTCCAAACTCCCCTCCACAATTTTAGAAATTAGTAGTCACTCGACCGCTTCCAGACCCTCCAAGACCATCAAATAGATTCCCAATCCAATGAGTCTCATTCTTGAGTTTTTTTTTGTAAAATTCTTAATCTTTCTGTAATGAGATACATGTTGAAAATATGATGATTAAATATTATGTTTAGTGGTCTCATTTTTTGGGTCCTGAAATATGTGTGTAATATAAATATATGTAATGGGAGTAGCTTATTATTATCAAAGTACAACTTTCAAATTTGGAATTAATCATTGATCTCTATTGGTGATTATAATCCATAGTTGTAAAAGTTGGAAAGTGAATATGGTGAATAATTGCCCTAATTAAAAATACATGGTCTTTTTATGAAATATTATGTGATAAGGAATATCATTCAAGTATCATATAAGGTGACTTCAAATATTATTCCATACGCTTAAAAGTGTATGGAAAATATCTCAAAATTAAAAAGGCCATTGAATTATGGACAAGAATTCTGAAATGTTTATTATCTTAATAATGATAATAAATGGCTGCTGTAATGTTGTTTCAATTTGGATGTTTCAAAACTACGTTTTGAGGGTCCAATGAATATGTAATAAGCTTGGTCAAATGTTGTTTAAGGATCCTTAAAGATGGATCATGGGAACAACCGTTGATTTTCATTTGATATGTTTATATATATTTTGACGTGCACTTGTCGCGAAGTGCACTCAAAATAAATTCAATACAAACACTTATACGTAGTATAGCGTAGTAGAGTTCGTATCCACAGGGAAAGGAATAATTCTCTTTTTATAAAACTAGTAAATAAAAAGGGGGGTTTTGGGATTGAATGATTTAACTTAATTAAACATAAAGATGAACAACTTAATTTAAAGATAAAAAGGACTTTGCATTGCTACTTTTCACTTGTTGATATATTTTAGTCGATCATTGTTATATCTATAACTTATCCCCTCTCGAATACTCAATCGAGGAGTATATCCAATTCATCGAGGGTAGTTATTAACAACGACCGTTCATTAATAACCCTTACTATTAGTCATGTATAAAACACCGCCATATACCGACTTGATAGTAGCATTTAATCTCTTAACTCCTTGATGAAATCAATTGAGATTGATAACCTCAACACAACGGTTTCGGTTTAACCAACAAAATTAGTCCCTCTTAAGTTTATTAACCACGACCGTGCATTAATAAACCAAAGTTACTTACTTGTGAAACCATCAACGATTAACCATCGGTTCGTTGAACGTTTCTAGTAGTAATTAATGTTGAGATGTTAACTAATTGTCATCTTAGCAACACTCCCCAACATTAACATAGAGATAGATTAAGGGAAGAATTAATATTCAAGGAAGAAGATTAAATATGAATAATCCTACTATAACTAATGTCAAGATGTTATCTAATTGTCATCTTAGTAACACTCCCCAACATTAATATATAGAGGAAGAAAATAAATACTACTATAACTAATGTGAGATGTTAACTAATTGTCATCTTAGCAACACTCCCCAACATTAATATATAGATAGATTAAGAGAATAATTAATATTCAAGGGAAGAAGTTAAGAAAATAACTCACAACTTTAATAATCAACAAGCTTCAAGAGCAACACCAAGAAATGGAAGTTTAGCTCCTCATTTGGAGACTAAACATGCTAAAAAAATATAAAAGAAATACTATTCTAAGTTGAGCTTAAGAGTATGGAAGAAGGAGTTATCCTTTGTGAAGGAAAATGGGGTTATTTATAGGTGTTTTCAATACCCTGGGGCATTGACCCGCCCGGGTAAAAGGACATACCCGACCGGGTCAACGTCAAAATCAAATATTTCCCACGTTTTGGCGATCTTCGGCACGTTCTGGTGTTCTGGGTCACATCTAACCTGACCGGGTCAAATAAGTGACCCGCCCGGGTCTAGTGACTTTCTCAGCAGTTTCTGATTCTTTGTCATGCCCGACCGGGTGAAGTATTGTACCCGGTCGGGTTTTTGCTTCTGGGCAGCCAAATCTTATTTTTCTTCACTTCAAAGTCCTCCTTTTCAACACCCTAATTCCTAACTCTACTTTACAACTTACAAATGAAGATTAAAATACAATTACAACTAAAATCACACAAATGTTTACAAACTAAATAAAACGGTAAACAAACCACACAAATCAAACATAAAAACATACACTTATGCACTACTAATTAGTGCATATCATATTTACATATATTATCATTGTGATTTTTTATTAGAAAATGAACCCACTGCATGCTTCCTTTTTCCTTCCTTACGTACGAAATGAAAACGATAGATTTAGCTACCATTCACTTCTTTCTTTCTAATTTTCATACGTACACCTCAGAAGAGTTTTAGACTATCTTCAATTCATTTAGAGACCAATTTCTTATTCGATTTATAGTCTATTACTCATTTTTTTCGGACTCGTCTCTTTCCTTGGTTATATGGGCAACGATCGAAGGTTTCAGTCAAGATAGCTACAAGTCTGAAACGGAGTAGGATTATCTTGGGAGCGAGCTAGCCAGACCCGTCCGAATAGCTATCAGGATACGGGGGCTATCTTTCTTCAAGTCCAGTCCGTTCTAACGGGCGATCCTGCGATAAGTTCTCTTATCTTTTCTATTTGTTCATTTTTACTTATAATAATAATAATAATAATAATAATAATAATAATAATAATAATTATTATTATTATAATTATTATTATTATCTTTTCTTGCATTTGGCGGTTTGTCTGGTGATTTGATTTAAACTCGGGATTTTTATCTGGTTAAACTTGTATTTTTAATATCAATTTTCTAACAATACGCTCGTGCATGTGGATCGTCATAGATTTCAAATCCATGAACATAATTTTTTCTTCTCTCCTCTGTTCTTTATATGCCATATTTTGTCGCTGGATTTCCAATTGATTCTATATATCTAACGATGATTTCTTCATCATCTGTATAAGTTGCTCATTGTCGCTCTTAACAGACTAAAGCAAAACAGTAATGTCTTCATCGATTTTCTTCTTCAATTTGGTGTTTTTGACCCCTGTTGATCGTTTTGAAAACCAGATCCAGAATCAGTATCAACTTCTTTATTGAAAGAAGATGACAATCCATGTGATGATAAAATTGGAGATGGTGGAAGCGAGTATGATTGCAAAGAGTCGTAGTTAACTTTTTTTGGGAGCAGCATGTCTTGCAGTTGACGTGTTATCTTTAAATTTTTAAAGATTCTTAGTCATATCCCAAACATGGTCAAACTTAAAACCTTTAGAATATTTTGGTCCTTGCATAAATAAAACTTTAGCACGATCTAGCTACAAATCATTAAAATAATATTTGTATTACAAAGAAGTAAATACATTATTGAAAATTAAAATTAAATTATACTTACAATATCATTTTCAGAAGCACCACTTGGATTCAAATTCTCAACTTGCTTGACACACACATTCAGCCTTCGTGTCTGAGTAGTTATTATATCCATTCTTGAACAAAGTGAGCGTATATTACGATACTCGTAATTTTGTTGACGGTGTTCGTTGTACTTAGCCTCAACTCGTGACCAAAAATCATTTGCAGATTGATATTTGCCAGTGTGGGTCTTGAGTAATGTATATATACACTTCACACAAGAATGTGTCTTCCACTATGGTGTAACTAATTGATATTGAAGTCATTTTGGTCGTAAAGAAAAAATGATATACTTTAGATTGTGAGATAGGGGTTTTGATGAAGTGTGATAATTCATTGCATTAGTATTTATAGAATGTAGAGGTTGATAATGAATCCTTAGATTACCCGTTGGATGGATTTCCTAATCTTCACAACCATTGGATTCTTATCTTTGAGATAAGCATACTTGTTAGCTACCTACAATTTGTGACACAAGTTGATATGGAATCTTAAGATTATCCGTTAGAGGGTTTCCATATCTTCACAATCATTGGGTTCTTAACTTTTGAGAAAAGCATACTTGTCAGCTACGTACAATTTGTGACATAAGTTGATAAGGAATATTAAGACTACCCGTTGGATGGATTTCCTTATCTTTACAACCATTGGATTCTTATCTTTTGAGATAAGCATACTTGGCACGTACTACTTACAATTTCAGTCACAAGTTGATAGGGAATCATTAGAGTACCCGTTGGATGGATTTCCTTATCTTCACAACCATTGGATTCTTATCTTTTGAGATAAGCATACTTGTCACGTACTACTTACAATTTCAGACACTGGTTGATAGAGAATCATTAAATTACCCGTTGGGTGAATTTTCTTATCTTCACAATAATCATTAAATTCTTATCTTTTAAGATAAGAGTACTTGTATAAATATGAACAAATTAACACATAAGATGGATCACCACATCAACAAAAAAATGAATTTCAATATTTCACAACTTGATGAAGAAGAAGGAGAAGAAATGATGATAGTGGCACTAAAAACAACAACATGATAATAAGTCATTGTATTGGTGAGCTCATTAGGCCTATTAGGTACGGTGGTTCAGTTCATGATCTGGTGATAGACCGAGATCGAGAAATGGGAGACCATAATTTGTTAGTGGACTATTTCCCTCCAAATCCACGTTACGGAGAAGTATTATTTCGTCGACGATATCGTATGTCGCAAGATTTGTTCCTACAAATTATTGGTGCGGTTACAAATCGTGACAACTATTTCCGCCAACGAAGAAAAGCAACAGGTAGACTCATATTATCAGCTTTACAAAAAATAACAGATGTATTTTGCATGTTGGCTTATCGTGTGCCTGCGGATGGAACAAACGAGTACGTTAAAATAGGTGAGTCTACAACAATTGAAAGTATGAAAAGGTTTTGTCGATCTATTGTCGAAATATATGGAGAGCGCATCTAAGAAGACCTAATGATAATGACATAGCGAGACTTCTGGACATTGGAAAACAACATGGATTTCCAGGAATGTTGGGAAGTCTTGATTGCATGCATTGGAAATGGAAAAATTGTCCAACGACATGGGCATGACAATATTCTAGTCGTAGTGGCTCACCAACTATCATTCTTGAAGCTGTGGCAGATTATGATCTTTGGATATGGCACACATATTTTGGAATACCAGGTAGTAATAATGATATTAATGTTTTCGAAGCACCCAATCTTTTTTCAGATTTAGCATAGGGTGTTGCTCCTCCTGCTCATTATATTATTCAAGGAAAAGAGTACAATGTCGGTTACTATTTAGCGAATCGTATATATCCAAAGTGGTCAACACTTGTCCAAACAATTCCTCAGCCACAAGGTAGAAAGAAGAAATATTTTGCCATGAGACAAGAAGTATGTAGAAAAGATGTTGAACGTGCCTTAGGAGTTTTGCAATCGCGATTTGCAATTATCGCGGGACCTTCACGTTTTTGAAACAAAAAAAGTCTTACATGGCATAATGAGTGCATGCATTTTTATGCATAATATGATAATAGAGGATGAACGTGATATACATGCACCAGTTGAAGATGTGAGAGATAGAAGAGTTCCAGATGTTGAAGTGACTGTTGATGAGGCAGAGAGATTCACTCAATTTCTTACACGACATAAAAAAATTCATGACAAAAACACTCATATTGAACTCCGCAATGCTTTAATTGACCATTTGTGGGAAGAATTCTCAAATTCCGACAACTAAACTAAGAATATTTATTTAATTTACTGCTTTGAATTATTATAATATTATTGTGATGTTTAATTTTATAAGGCTTTGGCATGTATTTGTGAAATATTGATTATTGTATTTTTATTGAGTGAAATGTGTGAAACATGCGTGAAATATTGATATAGTAGTATTTTAGCTTGTACTTGTGAAATAATGAGTGAAATGCCAAATGACATATTAAATGAGGGACTAATGTATAAATATATGATAATTAGAGCATTAAATATAGTAATGATAAAAAGTTAGTAAAGTGAATAAAATAAAAGCATATTCCTTAATAGTAATAAAAATGGTGTAAATTGTTGGAGATAAAGTACTCTGTAATGTGATGTTTACATCATTTTAGTGCAAAAAAAATGGTGTAAACCGTTGAAGATGACCTAACTGTTGGAGCAACAAAATGGCAAATCCCCTATTTTAGTGAATGTTTTGGTGATTGTTGGAGATGGCATTAGCTAGGGGGAACTCGCATCTTCTTAATCTTTTGACCTTTCATACAATCGAATTAAAGCATGTCAAATTTAAAAGATTGAATTATGATGAAGGATTTTTAAGGAATATTAGGTGATGTCTTTTGACATTTATACTTTTCTATATAAGGTGGTGTTACTCGTACACATAAATTGTACACATTTTATGTACACATCTCCTAATTGTCTGTGTACAAAGACAACTTCTGAATGAACTATCTATGTACACACAACTTCTGAATGAACTTAACTAGAAAGTGTGATAGTTTTTTTTCTTTCTCCAATGTCTTCTTTGGTGTGCCCTGTTAAGTCTATGTGGAATCGATGCGGTTAAGCCCAATTTCGAGTTCTAGAAAGCATGTTCAACATGATGACTCATCAAAAATGAACAAACATACTGTTATACCCATAGTGGAGAGAAAATGGTTCCCAAAAATACACTTAATGCATACAAATATATATACGAGTATATATATACATACATATACATATAATTTGAATTTAGATTTTCTATTAAGTATATTTTACTTGGCATTAATTTTTTATTTTGACCAGCTTTCTCTCCGATTGCTTCATCCAATTTTTATTTAGTAATAAATAAGTGACGTGTGGTTATTTCAAGTTGTTAACATGATGCATTGGGAGCCTTTGATCTCTTTCTTTTGATTTGTATATGACATATATTTACATTAATCTATTCTATTGACATTTGGCAAAATTTACTTGCTTTTGAAAGAGGAGCATTGAAGATGCTCTTAGGTGATAATAAAACAAAACATAAAGGTCATTCATCATAAATATCCTGATTATAAAAAGAGAGTGATGTAAATTAAAGTTTGTAAACCATACCCCAATTCGTCCCATTAAACTTCATTATCTTTACTTTTCTTTTATCCCAAAAACTTACAGCTTTTCCATTAAATTCCTTAAATTAATTAATTTGTATTTATGTTGATTTCTCTGTTCAGGACAAATTGAACTTGAAATTTTCTCATTTCTTATCTAATTCAAAGTTAACAAAGTTTACCAGGTAATATAATTGAAACTCTGTTTGAAGTTCTCGAGCTTCACACTATTGTACGGACTATTTACATTGTAGATTATTATCCGAACTTGGTTAAAAGTTACTCCGTCTTAAAAGTGATGAAACGTCAATCGAATGAAATACGTACACTCATTTTTTGCTACCTCAAAAACTTATAGTAATATACGTAGTACTTCATTACTTATTGTTTAGAACTTAGAAGTGTTATAGAAATTACTCATACAAACGTACGTATTGGTGATCCCGGCTTGTTTTTAAAAAGTAATTGTCCCATATAGAACTAAAATTAAACTTACCGAACAGTTTCACAGAAAGGACGTCACTTTATCCCTGAGCGTCCTCAACACTGACCGAACAATTTCACATAGTAACCTCACAACGCAATTATGGAGATTTGAACCCGAAACTTACACCTACGCCTCATTTTTTAAGTTACACAAAAATCTCATCATGTCATATGCGGGACAAGAAATGGGATGGGGGAAATAACATGCATGTCGACCAGGCACGAGTCCCACTACAGTAAATTGAGATCGGGATTAAAGAGACTAGTTGAAACCATCATTTGTGGCAAAAGTAAGCGACCATATATATTGTGATATTGGGATGAATTGGTAATAAATTTTTACATGTATGTCTTATATACAAAAGTTTGACTCAGAGAATTCATATTTTTGCATCAAACTGGAGGTGAGCTAGATTAAAAACTTTTTATTGCTATGCCACTCGGATAAAATAGGAATTATATCATTTGAATCAGAATAGTGGGGATTATTGTATATTGTATGTATTGCACTATTGCGTGTATATTTGTACTTATTTTGCTTATATTGTGGCCAGGTATATTGTTATGTCTTAGTAATAGCTAACGGTCTAGAATAAACATACGACAAAGTTTAAACATAGGACGAAGTATTATTCTCCACGAAGTTTAAACAGTCTTTGTGCTTTAGTACATGGGTAAGACTACGTATATCCGACCCCCCTTACCCTACCGTAGGTGGGAGCCTTTGCGGCACTGGGATAAATGATGATGATGATGAATAATTTGATTAAAACTTTTCAAATAAGAGTGAATGACTCCTATTTCGGGAATGAAACTTAGACAATCCTGTTTGTGAACGTTATCCATGCACATGTTAGTCCTATTTAGAGAATTTTCTCTTCTTCGAATCATGTTTTTTCTAAGAATTTATCTCAATTTTGTCTGAACCAATTCAAGTTGCAATCGACACAAAATCATCACTAGTTGAGAGAAAATTAAAAAACATTGGGGAGTTTGACTGATTTATGTCTCAGACCAGATCAAATCAAATCCAGAAATATCTAAACATGCCAAATCTAATAGATCAGATGACATGAGATCGAAGTTCATTATAATAAAATACACATAAAATAATCATCTATAAAATACCAATTAAAAATATCTCAACTTTCCACTTCTACATCGACTAAATTCTATAGTAAACATAGCTTGATGCCATTTATATATACCACTTGATTTAGTTTAATGTTTAACTTTCTTTAGATTTATATATATTTACCACTTGATTTAGTTTAATGTTAAAAGAGTGTAATATAACACTCGAAAAAAACTACTAATAATTACCTCTAGTGGACTCATTTGGTAGATAAGTTTCCGTTGTATCGTTTTCTTGACAACAGCGCTGGTAGGAGGTCCATCTTGACCAAGGCCATAACCCACATCAAACACATTATCCATTCCCCCGAGATTCGACACATCCGGAGCTCATACATTCGGGTTTTCTCCCTTTCGGAGCTCGTTAACGGGACCCTAACGAAAGTCCCGTGGTTTTCTCCCTTTCGGGTTTCCACGTAAAAACTGAGTTGTTCATACACATTTATACATATATTTACTATATCGTGTTGGATTAAACTCAACACGGTCCTGAGAGGCCTCTCAATTCTCATTAGGCTCTCCTCACCATTACATTATACAAGTTTGAAGCTCCCATTAATGGAGTATTATCTAATCTAGAGAAGAAGAAGCATGAAGAAGGAGGAAAAAGGTCCTTTACATGGAGGCTAAGCTCCGTATTTATAGGGGAGGGGAAGGGGAGGCTCTCCACCCTAATGGGCCGCATGGGCCGAAGTGGGCCTGGTGGTCAAAGTGGGCCGGATGGGCCGAAATGGGACTAGCTGCTCGGGCTCCATACTGGATAATGTCTTGGGCTCCTGAACAGTAATAGGCCGGGATAATATATCCCAACACAAGTCCCCCAGTTTCTTGAGTAGTGAGCGTGCGAATCTGCTCGAGAAAGTATACTCTTGCCTGCGCTCTTCCTCTGTCTTGCTGGAAATTGCGTCTTCGAATAATCATAATATACGAGTGGGTGTCTGCACTCCTGAATGTAATCTGCCGGTGAGGCACCCCCCTTCCCGACGGGGTCGGGCGAAGGGTGCTCCTCCACGGGCACACTCCCCCTGAATGCATCAGGCGGGAGTAAAGGACTCTGACTCGAGCTTTCCAATCGGAGAAGCTTAGAGGTCCATGTATCTATAAACCGACGTCGCGGTACTGTCAAAGCACGATGCACGTGTGTATGTATGAATGTATGAGGTATGATGCATGAATGCATGAATGCATGTAATGTATGGGTGCAATGTATGAGAGAAGGAATGTGAGATGTGATAGAAAGCGGTGGCTCTCATCGATAAACCGGGCATGTCAGCGCCGAGAGGCAGACGTGCTGCATAAGAGACGTTCGTCGCCATCCTGGAAGGGATGGGCGACCCTAACGTGAGCCAGACACGATGGCACTGGGGCGCTGATCGTGCTGCATAAGAGACGTTCGTCGCCATCCTGAAAGGGATGGGCGACCCTAACGTGAGCCAGACACGATGGCGCTGGGGCGCTGATCGTGCTGCATAAGAGACGTTCGTCGCCATCCTGGAAGGGATGGGCGACCCTAACGTGAGCCAGACACGATGGCGCTGGGGCACTGATCGTGCTGCATAAGAGACGTTCGTCGCCATCCTGGAAGGGATGGGCGACCCTAACGTGAGCCAGACACGATGGCGCTGGGGCACTGATCGTGCTGCATAAGAGACGTTCGTCGCCATCCTGAAAGGGATGGGCGACCCTAACGTGAGCCAGACACGATGGCGCTGGGGCGCTGATCGTGCTGCATAAGAGACGTTCGTCGCCATCCTGAAAGGGATGGGCGACCCTAACGTGAGCCAGACACGATGGCGCTGGGGCACTGATCGTGCTGCATAAGAGACGTTCGTCGCCATCCTGAAAGGGGATGGGGCGATCCGAACGTGAAAGAGACACGATGGCGCTGAGAAGCCGATCGTGCTACATAAGACGGTCGTCGCCATCCTGGAGGGAATGGGCGAGCCGAACCGTGAAGCCAGGTACGATGGCGCTGAGGGGCCGATCGTACTGCATAAGACGTTCGTCGCCATCCTGGAGGGAATGGGGCGATCCGAACGTGAAAGAGACACGATGGCGCTGAGAAGCCGATCGTGCTACATAAGGCGGTCGTCGCCATCCTGGAGGGAATGGGCGAGCCGAACCGTGAAGCCAGGTACGATGGCGCTGAGGGGGCCGATCGTACTGCATAAGACGTTCGTCGCCATCCTGGAGGGAATGGGGCGATCCGAACGTGAAAGAGACACGATGGCGCTGAGAAGCCGATCGTGCTACATAAGACGGTCGTCGCCATCCTGGAGGGAATGGGCGAGCCGAACCGTGAAGCCAGATACGATGGCGCTGAGGGGGCCGATCGTATTGCATAAGACGTTCGTCGCCATCCTGGAGGGAATGGGGCGATCCGAACGTGAAAGAGACACGATGGCGCTGAGAAGCCGATCGTGCTACATAAGACGGTCGTCGCCATCCTGGAGGGAATGGGCGAGCCGAACCGTGAAGCCAGGTACGATGGCGCTGAGGGGCCGATCGTACTGCATAAGACGTTCGTCGCCATCCTGGAGGGAATGGGGCGATCCGAACGTGAAAGAGACACGATGGCGCTGAGAAGCCGATCGTGCTACATAAGACGGTCGTCGCCATCCTGGAGGGAATGGGCGAGCCGAACCGTGAAGCCAGGTACGATGGCGCTGAGGGGCCGATCGTACTGCATAAGACGTTCGTCGCCATCCTGGAGGGAATGGGGCGATCCGAACGTGAAAGAGACACGATGGCGCTGAGAAGCCGATCGTGCTACATAAGACGGTCGTCGCCATCCTGGAGGGAATGGGCGAGCCGAACCGTGAAGCCAGGTACGATGGCGCTGAGGGGCCGATCGTACTGCATAAGACGTTCGTCGCCATCCTGGAGGGAATGGGGCGATCCGAACGTGAAAGAGACACGATGGCGCTGGGAAGCCGATCGTGCTACATAAGACGGTCGTCGCCATCCTGGAGGGAATGGGCGAGCCGAACCGTGAAGCCAGGTACGATGGCGCTGAGGGGCCGATCGTACTGCATAAGACGGTCGTCGCCATCCTGGAAGGGAATGGGCGAGACGAACCGTGAGTCTGGACACGATGGCGCTGGGGCGCCGATCGTGATACAGAAAAATAGTGATGATCATCTCATGGCCCTCGGCCTGTCGGTGAGTGGTAATCGTCCCACGGCCCTCGGCCGTGCTGGTGATGTGTCAAGTCTCTCTCCTGATTGGCTGTGAGAAGCCGATCGTCTGCCAGGACTCCATCCGGGAAGGAATGGTGAGCCTGAAATAAATCTGGGCGATGTCCCTTCTACCTGATCTGGGGGGCTAATCGTCGTTCGAGGCAAAAGAAAACCTGATGTTAGCCGATCGTCGTCGGCCACTTCATTCTTCGTACTCAAGTTTTGTAATTATTCTTTACATATGTTTTTCAGTTTGTACTTCCCGGCCAATATCGCCGAGGGATAAAAATCATTCTTTGCTCCGTGCTCTTCTGGCATCTTTTTTTTTTTTTTTTTTTTTTTTTTTTTTTTTTTTGGAGTCTTTTAGTCTTCGTTCGTCATTGGTCCTTGGTCCTACCGGCGTTCTTACATCGAAGATACGTTCGGTATCCGCGAACATCGCAATGAGGAACAGGTATATCTACATCGAGATTCCCTCCCTTTTTCGTTCGTCCCTGGTCCTTTTAGTCTTACCGGCGTCTCTTGCATCGAAGAAGACGTTCGGTACCCAAGGAACTCGCAGGGACGAACTGGTTTACCCTCACGGGTTCCCGTCTTTGTTATCCCACGTCCATCGATCCATGGTCATTTGTGGGATAAACAGGTTTATCTTGGCAGGCTCCCTTGGTTCGTCTAGCCCCCTCCACGTCTCTACTAACCTCTACATCGAGAGGCGTTCGTCTTCGGCGGTGGGGGAAGATCTGGCACACCCGGGCAAGATTCCCTTCCGCATAGGAGCTACCCTCCTCTTCTCCCTTTTTTTTTTTTTTTTTTTTTTTTTTTTTTTTTTAGGGAGGTAATCTATGGTCTTCGTTCGTCCTTGGTCCTTGGTCCTACCGGCGTCCCTACTTCGAGGAGACGTTCGGTATCCGCAGACATCACAAGGAGGAACAGGTTTATCTGCATCGAGATTCCCTGGTGCTTCGTTCGTCCTTGGTCCTTGGTCCTACCGGCGTCCCTACTTCGAGGAGACGTTCGGTATCCGCAGACATCACAAGGAGGAACAGGTTTATCTGCATCGAGATTCCCTGGTGCTTCGTTCGTCCTTGGTCCTTGGTCCTACCGGCGTCCCTACTTCGAGGAGACGTTCAGGTATCCGCAGACATCACAAGGAGGAACAGGTTTATCTGCATCGAGATTCCCTAGCTCTTCTTAGTCCGTCCCTGGTCTGTGGTCCTACCGATCTTCCTACATCGAAGAAGACATGCGGTATCCAAGAAACTCGCAGGGATCACGGGATGTCACACATAATAGTGGTGGCATAGCGAACGAATATAATGACGAGGCGATGGAGACGCTGGTCGTCATGCGAAGGCGATGGTCACCCTCCTGAAGGGAGGGGTGAGCCCGATCGCTAACTCAAGAAGGTCGGCATTGGGAGCCGATATACAATGATCATAATGTCGCTGAGCAGTCGGTCCTGATAACGGAGATGGCAATAGTGTCCAGTCAGGCCGATATATCCGAGCAACGGCTCTCATCCAACGCAGCGCGGGGATGAAACCGGTCTTCAAAAGATAAATATGTCGTGCTGAGAGGCCGAACATAACATGACAGTGTCGGCAGTGAGAGGCCGACCCGAAAGAATCAAACAACGGTCCTTGTCCGCGGGGTGGCGGGGACGAGGCCGGTCTTCAAGAGATAAGCACGCCGAGCCGAGAGGCCGGTCGTGGTATAATGGTGTCGGCAATGAGCGGCCGATCTGAGAAAATCAAGCAACGGCCCTCGTCCGCGAGGGCGGGGACGAGGCCGGTCTTCAGAAGATAAGCACGCCGAGCCGAGAGGCCGGTCGTGGTATGACGATATCGGCAATGAGAGGCCGATCTGAGAAACAAGCAACGGTCCTCATCTGCGCAGTGCGGGGACGAGGCCGGTCTTCAAATATGAACACGCCGAGCCGAGGGGCCGGTCGTGGTATGATACTGTCGGCAATGAGATGCCGATCAAGATATGGTCAAGCAACGGTCCTCGTCCGCGAGGTGGCGGGGACGAGGCCGGTCTTCGAATATGGTAATCACGCCGGTCCGAGAGGCCGGTTGTGATATAATGATGTCGGCGATGAGAGGCCGAACATGATGTGGCAGTGTCGGCAATGAGGGTCGACCTGCAATCCAGCAACGGCTCTCATCGGCGCAGTGCGGGGACGAGGCCGGTCTTCAAAAGATAGGCACGCCAAGCCGAGAGGCCGGTCGTGGTACGACGGTGTCGGCAATGAGAGGCCGACCTGAAATCAAGCAACGGTCCTCGTCCGTGCAGTGCGGGGACGAGGCCGGTCTTCAAATAAGATAATCACGCCGTGCTGAGAGGCCGGTCGTGATATAATGATGTCGGCAATGAGAGGCCGACCTGAAATCAAGCAACGGTCCTCGTCCGTGCAGTGCGGGGACGAGGCCGGTCTTCAAATAAGATAATCACGCCGTGCTGAGAGGCCGGTCGTGATATAATGATGTCGGCAATGAGAGGCCGACCTGAAATCAAGCAACGGTCCTCGTCCGTGCAGTGCGGGGACGAGGCCGGTCTTCAAATAAGATAATCACGCCGTGCTGAGAGGCCGGTCGTGATATAATGATGTCGGCGGTGAGAGGCCGGCTTGAAAATCAGGATGGTCTCACGGCCCTCGGCCGTGATGGTCTCCTCTAGGCCCTCGGCCTCTGAGTGATGGATGATCGCCTCACGGTCCTCCGCCGTGGTAGTCCACTCTAGACCCTCGGCCTCTAGGTGTTCTTCCTAGGCCATCGGTCTCTGGGGTGGAGATGCTCGTCCAACGGTTCTCAACCGTGGTGGTCTCTTCTAGGCCCTCGACCTCTGGGTGTTCTTCCTAGCCCATCGGTCTCTAGGGTGGAGATGCTCGTCCAACGGTTCTCAACCGTGGTGGTCTCCTCTAGGCCCTCGACCTCTGGGTGTTCTTCCTAGCCCATCGGTCTCTGGGGTGGAGATGCTTGTCCCACGGTTCTCAACCGTGGTGGTCTCCTCTAAGCCCTCGGCCTCTAGGTGGAGATGCTCGTCTCTCGGTCCTCAGCCGTGATGGTCTCCTCTTTAGCCGGCCCTGCATGTCCTCAAGACTCGGGCCGAGCGTCTTCTAATCATTTCGCTCGATCACGTCGAGCGGCTTCAGCTGCGCAATAAGCATGGTAACGGGCCGCACGGCCCGACAATATGTATACACACATAACCATCTGCATGGCTTTCTCTTTAACATCCACGATTACCGGCCTATGGGTCATCGTGACCCTCGGCCCGGCTCATCGTGCGTGGTTAATGGACGTAGCAGCTCGCGGCGGGGCCAATCAGCAGCCCGCCGAACGTCACATAGAGATATTCAACGGTCCGTGAGTTTTCAAACTCAGACCCAAGTTGGTTGCACCGCCCTCGGAAACACGAGGCCGAGCGCTTTGGTGCCCTCGGGGCCCCACAGGCCGCGTCTGGCAAAAGTCACTTCGCGCCTAATGGCGTAGATGATATTGGGGTACGATCGCCGATCGGGCACGTAGTGCCGTGCGGACTAACGTACAACCCTCAAATTAAAACGCGTCGTCGGGGCATCGCCCTTCTGGAGACGCTCAGATCACTTAATCAAGCTGATCGAGAGTGGGCCAACAGGCCCACAAGAAATTAAATATTCAATAAAATGTTGGCTGAACCAACCATCATTAGAACTTCACTCCACATTATTTAATTCGGGACATTTTTATCCCTAATAAATAATAGTGATGTAACAGGTAATAGCAATGATATTATCCTATCAAAGGCCATTCAGATATGCTCCGTTCGCTAATTAAAGCCGATCAGGAGCGGGCCGACGGGCCCACAACAACCAGTCATTAAATTTAAATGACGGTGAAACTAGTTATCACTAGAATATCACTCGACATTATTTAATTTCGGGAGATTTTTATCCCTATTAAATAATGGTGATAATAATTAATAGCAATAACATTTATTGAAACTTAATCAACACGTAAAAGAGGGAGTATTTTGATACTTATCTCTTGGAGCAGTTCAGCCGAACTACGGAGTACGTACTTAGCAGCTGGTTGACCCACTCAGATAAAACCATGTGCTCCACTCATCTGCTAACTCCTTTTTCAGACTTGGTCCCCTCCTACGTGGTCCGCCCTCAGCCGAGTGAAGAGCGTCTGTGGAGAGGCAGATGGAACACCCCGCCGACGCCAGGTACACATCGGCCGCTGACTCACGGCGGTGATGGTGTCACAGCAGATCGAAGGCGTCTGTGGAGGCTTAGCTTCGTCTGCACACTTGGTTCCCTGGAGCTCTAAACCGCCGTAAATGGCGAGAACCCAGGAAGCTCCGGTTGATGGCAAGGTGGACAAGCCAGCCACGAGCGGTGACCGGCGGTCTTCAGCTGCTTGTGCCGAAGCGTCCTGAACTGGTCCGAGACCTCCGGCGGCTCTGGCAGTTTCCGGCGAGTCCATCCTAGTCCGGAAAATCCGGATCCGAGCTCCCAGACTCAATAGCTTCTCATACTTCCTTCCTTCCTCAGAACCGTTTGTTTCTTTCTTTGTGCTAAAAGCCCAGATCTTCGTAACACCTTTTCTTCTCCCTCGTTGAAATCCAAAAACCTTCAGCATCACATTTTCCTTCCTAGATCCAGAGCTTCTCAGAATCATTTTTCCAGGATGTTTTCATTTTCTTCATTTTTTGCTGAAATCAGTCCACTTCCATATCATTTTTGTGTAGAACACATGAATCTTTTTGGACAGATTCCCACAGACGGCGCCAGTGTTGAGTTTAATCCAACACGATATAGTAAATATATGTATAAATGTGTATGAACAACTCAGTTTTTACGTGGAAACCCGAAAGGGAGAAAACCACGGGACTTTTTAGGCTAATGTCCAAGCCCTCTCAATTCTCATTAGGCTCTCCTCACCATTACATTATACAAGTTTGAAGCTCCCATTAATGGAGTATTATCTAATCTAGAGAAGAAGAAGCATGAAGAAGGAGGAAAAAGGTCCTTTACATGGAGGCTAAGCTCCGTATTTATAGGGGAGGGGAAGGGGAGGCTCTCCACCCTAATGGGCCGCATGGGCCGAAGTGGGCCTGGTGGTCAAAGTGGGCCGGATGGGCCGAAATGGGACTAGTTGCTCGGGCTCCATACTGGATAATGTCTTGGGCTCCTGAACAGTAATAGGCCGGGATAATATATCCCAACACCACTTGATTTAGTTTAATGTTTAACTTTCTTTAGATTTATATATATTTACCACTTGATTTAGTTTAATGTTAAAAGAGTGTAATATAACACTTGAAAAAAACTACTAATAATTACCTCTAGTGGACTCATTTGGTAGATAAGTTTCCGTTGTATCGTTTTCTTGACAACAGCGCTGGTAGGAGGTCCATCTTGACCAAGGCCATAACCCACATCAAACACATTATCCATTCCCCCGAGATTCGACACATCCGGAGCTCCCTACATTTCGGTCAAGGAAAAGACTTACTAAAACAATCTTCACAAACCAAAAGATTAGCCCTAAATTAAAGTATATTGGCAATTATGTGAAATTGTGAACTCAACATTATATTGGCGATTATGTGAAATTGTGAACTCAACATTAAGTAGCTGTTTATATTTTATTTTCGGCCCGTTTGGTAATATTAAAATCGACTAATTCTACTGAAATTTATGAAATTCTAGATTGAGTGGCTGAATTGGCTGATTCTGCTAATTTATTTAAAAACAAAATTTTAAATATATTTTATTAATAAAATGAATAAAATATTATGTGTAAAATAGCTAAAATGATCCTCTATTGTAACTTCAACCAATATGTCAGAAAAGTAACTTCAACCTTACTTTTTCTTATTATTACACAATTCAACGCTCGAAATAAAAAATTACGTATTTGATGAAAAAGTTGGTTGATAAACCTAATAGACCGAAAAACAGAGCTACCAAAAGGGCTCTATATTGGTCAACACCATTAGTTCGCCTAAAACTCGTCATCTCACCCGTGTCTTTTCAAATCTTAGCCTTTAATAGTTAATGTTATTTAGGAATTTCAAAAGAGAATATTACCCAAATAGGACAAAAAAAGTTTAAAATTTCCAAAATATGACTGACATGTTTTTATTCCCAAAATAGGACTAATTACTGTTACGTTTTGGCAGTACCAGACTTCAAACATGACAGTATTTTCCAAACTTGGCTGTAATTACTCCTATTTTGGGAATAAAAACATGGCAGTCCTATTTTAGAAGTTTCAAACACTTTTAGTCCTATTTCGGGAACTTTCCCATTTCAAAATGTGAGAGTAATTAAAACAAGGTTATTTCACTAAATATGATTGTACGTTTCTTCTTCCGAGCTAGTAGTGTACATTATCACATATTAATATGTATACTCCGTATATGAAAGTACTATATTAACGTTGTAATATGACACTGATCTTAAGACAACAGTAAATATTCCTAGCTATTTGATGGAATAATATAATGATATGTACATAACTTCTATATATTTAGGGGAAAAGATGTTATTTATACTCCAATTTTGGCCAATTACATAAATAAATTTAGTCAAAGGGGCAAAAAAGTATCATATCTTCAGGGGCGGATCCAGGATTTAATGTTAGACTGGGCTGAAAATTTTAATTGATAATACATTGATTTTTTTTCAAAACAAGCGAAAAATCAAATATAAAAGTTATCCCCTAAATTTGTTCTAGACAAGGCTTTGAAACAAAAAAAACTCATCAACAATAGAGTCTACATCTATATTGAGAGTAATATCTTTTTCAATGTAAAATGTCATGCAATTAGCAAGAAAACTATCATCCATTTTGTTGCAGAGTGTTGCCTTTAGAAGTTTCACGACAGAAAATGATCATTCTATCTACTGTTGCAGTAGAAACAATAAGACCAATACGAAGTGAATCAATCTAGTCATCTTAACATATGAATCAGACCTTTTGCTTTTAGTTAACTTCTCACATAATTCAAATCACGAATGTCCTGACTACTAAAATCTTCGGGATAAAACTTCCTTACAAGAGTACAAATAGCATCGGCCTTGAAACGACTCATGAATTTTTTGGATCAAATGAAAAACTCAAAGAAAGGAGTTCCACTGATTTATCATTAAACCGGGTCGTTAACTCCATGAATAAAAGTATATTACCTCGTCGAAAACATCGACGTGGTAATGATTCTCAATTGTAGCTTCTTTTCAGCAATGATCAACCATATATTTAGAAATTATAATTCAAGTCTGGTGCATGAATTTATTTTTTGAGAAAAACTCATTTACTTCTTCAAAAAAACATTCTCATCTATTTTCTATCAATTCCTAAGAATGAGTTGTGTAGTAGAAAGATGTCTCATGACTACCGAGATATTCAATAATTTTTTTTTGAAGACTTTGAGAGAGAATAGTTATTAATCCCATAACTTTGTGCATCAAACTAAAGTAAATTGAACACAAATTCAAAACATAAAAAATGTCTATATACACAACAAACTTCTGCCCAAGAACTCACTTTTGGGCAATTATTGTTGTTGAAGATACTCAAACACTTTACAAGTTCATGTGAACATGTTAATTAATCAAGTTCTTAATTGAATCATATTTCAAGTGCCACTTATTAAGTGGGAGGTGATGTGTATAACATTTATATTAGATTTTTAGATGGTAAGATTTTGTTTTATAGAATAAGTTGAAAAATTGGACTGGGCTATACAAAAACCCGGGGTGGGCTAGATGGAATTATGTCAAAATAATACCTTACAAAAATAATTTTTTTTGCTTTATCCTGGGTTTCAGCCCACCATAGCCCTAACACAGATCCTCCCCTGCCTTCTTTATGTTAGTAGTGTATTTTCTGGTGGGATATGGATGTGTACATAAAGGAGCATCTGGTCAATATTTTTCGAGAATAGGATCGGAAGATCTACAACAACCCATAATTCCATATATTACGTCCAACATGGGACGTGGGCCCGTGACCAAAGCAAAACAAGCAAAAAAATACAAGCAAAAAACATCTCGCCGAAAGTAAAAAAACGAGAAGCAAACAAAGAAATTAAACCTATCAGTATACCAAATCCTAATTAAAGTTTGCATTTATTTATAGTATGTTTTTCTGGTCGGTCAATTTTTATATGGATCACATGAGGTTGACGGAACCTACAAACAAAAAAGTATATATTCCCCTCACAAGCATTATTATGTTATTAAAAAGAAAAGGTATTTAATCTTTTCTCGTCACATGGCATGATCTTGCAAGAAAAATGAAAAAAAGAAAGAATGGGACCCATGTAGTTTATTCTTTAGTTTAATAAACAAAATTCATAATAATAACAACTCGTCTAATAGATAGAAGGTGTCACAAAATAAGTCTTAAGTTTGAGTCCGGATAACGGGTCTAGTCGGGTCTGAAACCGTCTGATATGATAAATGTCAGATTTCTATGTATTTTATAATTGTTAAAGTCTAATTTCGTCTAATCCAATCTGATATGGATTTATTTCGTATAGTTAGATCTGGGATTGAAAATAGTGTAAGTAAAAACATGCATAACATTGGGACCATAGGAATATGATAAGCTAGAGTTGAGTTTTTCTTAAGAAAATATTTTGTGGTGTAATGTAGGTGTTGTAAAGAGTGAACGTATATATGTACTCACATCTTTGATGTCTTGTTCGGTGGTGAAGCCAGTTCTAAGCATAGTTGCAGCGAGGTAGATTGCCAGGCTTATCTTTTGAGGAAACTTGTACGTCGCATCTGTAACGCTCAATCCTCCTGCGCTATGCCCCACCAAGATTACCTATTCCTCGTTTAATTAGCACGCTTGTATACCAACATATGAATGTGTGTAGGAGAAAAAGTTTCCCAAATAGAAGCAAATAGATTTGGAATTACAGAATATCGTTGTTATGTTTTTCTTTACGAAATAGGAATAGTATCTACTGTCATTTTGGAGTTATAATTATGGAAATAGTTGCAATATCAGACATTAACATAACAATATTTAGTGACATTAATTAATAGTAATTTCAAAACGCATTTACTCTTATTTAGGTCAATTTCTCTTTTCTTTTGCATATTTACGCAGACAAAGAACAAGTTTTGATTCCAACGCAACCATACGGAGAATTATATTGTCCTCAAACTCAAATAGAGTAAACATAATGTTTATATATACATGGTCCATGAATATATACTTCGTACTTGTTAAGTCATCAAACCCGAAACCTTAATTAATATAGTACGAGAACTAAGTACATAATTACAAATTAATGATCGTTCGACATTATCATGACTCATTGACTCGGTCACAACATCAAGATTGTTTTGCTCTTACAAATCATCGGACATCTTCCTAAATATACAAACTAACATATAAACCTTTTACCACTATATTAAACCCCTAAATGGTGCACTGACAGTTTTTTATCTACAAACCAAAACGTGACCACATTTTTAATCCAATATACGTAGTATGTATTATTGGCATATTTCGAATCTCAGGATCTCAAATTTACTATTGATACACATGATTAATTTTCATTGTCAATGAAAATATATTTACCATGTGAACAGTGTGTGTGTGCATATTAATATTTCAAAAATAGAGTTTTGTAGTACACAGTATATACGAGTACTATATACGATAGTATATATCGCATATAAATGGAAAAGAAAAAAGATGTGTCAATTCAGATTCTCTTTTATATATGGTCCTATCACTTATGATCTATCATAGTAGTACTCCCTCTCTCCCTAAATTTACTTCCATTTCGCTTTTCGAGAGTCAACTTAAATCACTCTTAAACTCTTACTTTTTGTATCAAAAGTTTATGAAAATTGATTTTTTTTGCAGGCTTTGTAGCGGGTTTAATGTAGTTTCTGAATATGTAAATTTTATTTACTAAAAATAATCCGAGTTTTCACAGGGATCATTTAACTTTATCGTCGGTCAACCTTCGTAATCCGCAATCGGAACAACATTCAGGGACGGAGGGAGTACTAGCTAAGCTAGAGAGTTTCTTCTTTTCTTCTTCAAAAAAAAAAAACTAAGCTAGAGAGTATGACGGGTAACTGTCCTGATTTGTGATGTCTATAGAAATCCAAAGGTTTTGGTGATAAGAATCTAGATATAAGCACCCATATTTTTTTTTTCATATTTAGAAAATTTTCTACGTAGTATTTTTATAATATCAACTTGTGGTTAAATAATACTCCGTAGGCAGTTCGTATACCATGCAACCGTCCCACGGTGCGCATGGTATACCTGGGAGAGTGAAGAACCAGTTGGTATATTTTGGCTTTGTTATTTTTTATTTCTCCTTCTTTTAAAAACGTTAATAATTTTTTTTATTTTTTATCCGATTTTTATAAAATTTATATCAAAATTTTTTATTTTTCATGATCTTTCAAATGAGACCAATATTGCCTATGTAATTTTAACATATTAACATTTGCGTGTAAAAATATGTAACTTTACGTGTTAAAATATGTAACTCACGTTCAGTCAGGCCAAATGCAACTCGTGTGTATAAATATGTAACTCTACGTGTAAAAATATGTAACTTTACTTAAAACAATATGTAACTCTCGTTCAGACAGGTCAAATGCAACTCGTGTGTATAAATATGTTACTCACGTGTATAAATATGTAACTTTACGTGTAAAAATATGTAACTTTACGTGTAAATATATGTAACTCGCGTTCAGGCAAGTCAAATGCAACTCGTGTGTATATATATGTAACTCGCGTGTATAAATATGTAACTTTACGTGTAAAAATATGTAACTTCACATATAAAAATATGTAACTCACATGTATAAATACCTAATACAATAAATTTTTTATATACACAATTTTAAGATAAAATGTGATTTACACAATTATTTTTATGTATTAAATTTAGTTTGGTTTTCTTTATAATCCAATACACATTAATATAATAGTTTGATAATTTCTTAAAATTACATAAGCAATATTGGTCTCATTTGAAAGATCATGAAAAATAAAAAATGTTGATATAAATTTTATAAAAATCGGATCAAAAATAAAAAAGTTATTACCATTTTTTAAAAACAAAGGATAAAAATAAAGAAACCGTCCTCATCAATACTCCGTCGTTTTGCAACCGGGCGCACCATCCTCATGGTGCGCCGGTTGCACGATATAATTTGCGCTCCGTAGGTAGTAGTGTATAATTTTACCAAAACTATAATAATAAGACTAAAATATAATAGTAATAAATACGAACAGGGATATACTCGTACGTTTCGGCTAAAAATAGAATGTGTGTTCGTTGACATGAAAAAATAGTTAATGCATATATAAAATCATACTACCTTCGTCCCAAATTGATTTGTAAATTTGACTTTTCTTGGTCAAACAGTTTCATTTTATTTGCTTAATTAGGATGTCAAATTTTAATTATATTCTAATTTGGAGTACAGTTTACAACTTGGAAGAGATTTTAATGTAGTTTTTGAATATATAAATTTTAATTATTAAAAATTGAATTAATTGTCGATGGGGAGCATTGACTTTTATTATTGGTTGATCAAAAAATGTTGACTTTGCAAAATAATTTGGGACGGAGGGACTATTTTATGGGAAAAACCAGTCATGATGGTAATTCTAGTTCAAGATATACGTGTTTGGTTGTTTAGTGATATAAAATTTTCCCAATAACAATTTTGCATAATATCACATGAAAAAAAAATAGAGTAAGAACTAAGAAAGGATAACGTGACAATGGATAACATTTAACCTCATTCTTTCTTACGTGAAAAAAGGGGGAAAATCGTTGATAGTGGAATTAGGAGAATATTTTCTGAATTGGAATGTAACACAATATAATTAAATATGAGTTTCATTCTTTTCCACTCATATAAGTTCTGTTAATTAATCTCTCTTTTGAAAAGAAAACACATTTAAATCAATTCTCTTTTCGAGTTTTGTCTATATTTTAATCTTGTTTAATTTCAAGCAATAACTTTTTTTAATTTTTTTTTTATTCTCTACATATAAGTAGTTCCTGTCAAGTTTGAAGAAAAACCGCCACGTTTAAAGTCCCATAATGTTAAACTTGCCAAAAATTACTCTTATTTCAAAAATAAAAACATAACATTCCTATTTTAAAATTTCATAAAGTTTTTACTCATAGGTAATTTTCGGTTTCTCTTTACAATTTGTCCAAAAGGTTGAATCTCCAACCCCAAGGGTCCTCCACGCCCCGACCCAACAGAGCATATGAGAGTTGGTAAATCACGGTGACTCAATCAATCCTAACTAATAGTGGTAAACCTTATACTGGTGCGCCTCGACCAGATTTCTCTTTACAAGTATGCATAGAAAGCTACCATCTATCATGTACAATAGAAATTAAAATAGAAATAAAGGTGGGTATAAGCTAGCTAGATGGGGAAGAAAATATCCAAAGACTTATGTACCTGTTGATGTGGAGGCAAGGAAGCGAGGAAATCAAGGAGGGGCTTGTTATAATCTTCAAAGCAAAGTATATCATTTGCGTTGGACGGGTCTATACCGGCGGCTTTGAGGTCAAGGCAGGAGACTTTGTAGCCGGAGCTCTCCATCAGACACCTCAGCTTGTACCAACACCAAGCTCCTCCTCCTACGCCGTGTATAAGGACGAAGTGTGGCGGCTCCGGTGGTGCCGCCACCACCTCCTCTTCCTCCTTAGTCATCTCTTCCGCCGTCTTCCTTTTTGCAGATTCAATTCCCACGGTGTTCGATTCTATAAGTTGCATGCCTTAGAAGTATATGTGTAAATTAAATTTTCTTTGTACTAATTCTTAGCTATATAGCCATGTATTCATCTATACCCAAAATAAATAGAAGTGACTAAAAGAAGAGCACATCTTAGACGATGTGGACAAAGACTAAAAGACGGATGTGGGACAGACACATAAATAGCTATATAAAAAAATGAAGTTTATTAGAGCTAATTTAGTACCTCAAATACTACGTAATTGATTAAAGTTGTCGAAACTAAGATTAAAAAGCTGAATGTTATGTATTATAGAAAAATTATGGAGACAATTTCTTATACGAAGTATAAAGTTAAAACATAGACAAAATATATAAATAGAAGAGTATTTAGTAGTCTTTTGACTATTATGTCATTGACACTTTTAGTACTCAGTTATGATGTTTTCCACTTTTAATCCTTGACTATGGTACTATAGCTAGACATTTTTTTTACTCGTCTTTGAAAATTTCCATATTTAATCATTCGATTTTCATAATAAAATCATAGTGGAAGGACTAAAAGTAGTGTCAATTTGATAATACTCATAGGACTAAATGTGGTAATATTTGATGTCGAGGACTAAAAGTGTTTGTAGCAGGATAGTCGAGAACTAAAAATGAAAAAAATTAAAAATTGAGTACCAAAAGTGTCACTGACACGACAAGAGGGGGATAGAATCTACTCACTCTGAATTGGGAAAATTCAACGCTTTTAGTAGGATCAAATAAGTCATATTTTGAAAGCAAAATATAAAAAAACTTAATTATTTGTGCAATTTGTATATGCATGGTGTAGTCCTGTTTGAATACTTTCACCGCATTTTGGCTAAGATCAAGTGTAGAAACAATTTCTGGAAATTTTGTACATGCCCATTCACCCATATGACCTCGTTTCATAGACATTTCTTTTAAGTTTTAAAAATGAATAGATAAAAATATGGGTTAAGTCATAGATATTACTAATGAAAAGAGTTTAGATAAATATAGGACCTCTTTTAATCTTTACCAGAAATGTGACCTGCCTTTGAATCATTTAGAAAGTTAGGATTAATATGACAAATGTGATCTCACTCCCGTCAGGACAGAGATCATTATACGTGTCACTCGTACTCAGAATGTTCTCGGTGAGAAAGGAAGGAGAATTAGGGAACTGACATCACTAGTCCAGAAATGGTTCAAGTTTGAGGAGAACACTGTGGAACTGTATGCTGAAAAGGTGCAAGATAGGGGTCTTTGTGCCATTGCTCAGGCAGAGTCTCTCCGCTACAAACTTTTTGGTGGTCTTGCTGTTAGGAGGGCATGTTATGGTGTCCTGCGATTTGTTATGGAAAGCGGAGCAAAGGGTTATGAGGTAATTGTCAAGATGGTTACATGATTTCTTCAGGTCAACCTGTGAAGGAATAAATCGACACTGCTGTGAGACACATTCTAATATGACAGGGAGTGTTGGGCATAAAGGTTAAGATCATGCTTGGGCATGACCTTGAGGGAAAGACTGGGCCAAAGTGTCCTCTTCCGGATCTTGTCACTATTCATCCTCTTAAGAATGAGGAAGAAACCACCTCAAAGCCGCATGCTCCTGCAATGGCAGTAGTGCCAACCACTGATATTGAAGTTCCAGTTATGTAGGCACACATCAACTGTCAGAGCTGTGTGTTTACCTTACATGATAATATGGATTCTATGTTTCTTACTACTATGTCCCTGCATTCTTACTTCTAAGATGATCTGTGCTAAGAAAATTTTGTTCTTAAAAAAAACGCTGCAACAGGAAAACTAATACGGTGTGTGGAAAACTAATACGGATCCGTTTGTTCAATTGTTCCTCCCACATTATGATAAAAAGTTTTTTTTATTTGATTTCTATACGGAGTACAATTAATTACATGTCAAATCAGTTACAATTAATTCGATTCGATCCGTTACAGTTACTCGATCCGGTTAGTTACAGTTATCTGAATCCGACCAGTTACAATTATCTGATTCAACCAGTTACAATTATCCTATATGACCAGTTACAATTACTCGATCCGACCAGTTACAGTTATCTGATTCAACCAGTTACAACAATCACATCTGACCAATTACAATTATCCGATCCGATCAATTATAGTTACCCGATATAATCATTTACCGTTACAGTTACTCTATCCGACCAATTACAGTTATACGATTTAATCAGTTACAATTATCTGATCTGACCAATTACAATTATCGGACCCAATCAATTACAGTTACAGTATCCCGCACGGGAAAGTTACAGTTACCTGGTGACCACCGCTAGCCACCGTCACCAGCCGCCGCCCCTACCCAAATGCACCTTCAGCAGCCGCCTCCAGCTGCCGCCCCTACCCGAACGCACCGTCACTAAGCCCCTCCCCTTTCCGGTGCCCAGCCTCCTCAGCCCGTCTCTAGCCCAAACCCCAACCTGCCTCCAACCTCCCCAACCCACTGCCACCGTTGGCCACTGCCGGCAACCACCACCCCTGTTCAGCCCTCTCCCCAATCTTGCACAATCGCGGCCGTGCTTCCTCACCCCTCCCATTAACCGTTGCATCCCACCTCCGTACCTCACCCCCAGATCCAGCTCCGTCCAGAAGAATCATAGTCGCCTACCACACTCACAGGTCGAACCCAGCCATCCGCCGTAATCGCCCTGCACCCTACCCTAAATCCCTGTCCCCAACCACCGTGCAATCTAAAACTAACAACCTGATTCATTATTGATCTTGTAGATCTGAAGCTCGCCTTCAAAAATGGCGTCTAATCAAGAGTGAAGGAACCTCGTCATTTCCGACAGTGATTGCTATGGAATGGCTAATCTACAGCAGGATAGGGGTCTATTAGTCAATGGATAATTATTTAGTCTCTTTTTTGTCAATTCAAATTCTAGTCCTATTTTTGTCCACTCACAAGTCCATGGTATTATTCTTGTCATTATTTCATAAAAATATCGGTATTATAGACAATTCTTCCTTAAAGTATGACAAAAAATGGTTGAAATTCAATTCAAGCTAAGGATGTTTTTACTTGCATTTGGACAAACTATACTGGATCAAATTAGATCAAACCAGCCCATTATTGGACAGTTATAATAAAATACATAGACATCAGACATCTGTTAGATCATATCAGTTTAAACTAAATCACACTTAACTCCGTACACCAAATCATATCCTACCAGAAAATTTTAACCCAATTAAAATCATGTGAATGGGACGTGGAGTCGCGTAGACATGAGAGTATATTTAAATGAGGATAAAACTTTCATGGGTAAATGAAACACAAGACTGAATCACACGAGAAATCATTTCGAAAAAAATAGAGAGAATTCCCAAATTAGGAGTAAAACATGAGGTATTTGCAAAAACGGGACCTATTGTTTTAAAATTCGTAAATAGGAGTAAACATTTGTGTTTGGACAGAAATAGCCTCCGGTGTCGTAACATTGCGCATTGCTCCCTTCCTCTTCAATTCACCGCAAACATCTCTTCCTCTCATGAACTCTAGATCCGCCATCGATTTTGGTCTTGCATCGCAGTTCCGCCGTCGACCATAGCCCTGCTCTCATCGGCAACTGTGTAGGTCTTCTTCTTCTTCTTCTTCTTCTTCTTCTTCTAATTTCAGATCCTCTGTTCTCTTCTTCTTTGGATTTTTTGAACTTGAATTTTATTTATTAATTTGGATTTTTTGGATTGGAATCTTATTTATTCAGCAAAATGCCACTTTTATAATATGAAAATGTCAAAATTATTGGTTATTTAAAAACATTGCCACATTTGTGACAGTACATTTATCAGGATGACAATCTGAATATGTCATATGTACATAAGAAAATGCCATCAACATGTCATTATTCATATCAAATGCAATTCAAAAAAGAAAATGACATCTCATGACATTTTCGTAAGAGTAATAATGTCATTCTCATGACACTTTCGAAACAAAAATGACATATTTAAAAGTGTCAGTTTTTTTAGTAACAATGTCAGTTGCATGACATATTGTCATCTTGATAAATGTAATGTCATAAAAGTGACATTTTTCTAATTGCTTGTAATTTATGGCATTTTGAGGTTCCAAATTAATCAAAATTAATTAAAAAATGAAATCTAAAGAAGAAGAAAACAAAGGACCGAGATTTGAAGAGGATGGCAATTGAAGGAGAAGACAAAAAAAGAGGAAGAAGAAGAAGATGAAGAAGAAAAAGAAGCTAGAAGAAGAGAGGAGAAGAGATGGAGAAAAATACCTGGGAGTCGCCGGAGAAGAGCATGAGAGCGGCCTGGGCGTCTTCATTGCAAATCGCCGTTGGTCTTCATCGTAGATGGCCTGTGCATCTTCATCGCAAATCGTTGTTGGTCTGCATATCATCGTTGTTGGTCTGCATCTCTTGGAGCCGACAACTACTTTGGGGTTTTATTAAATGAAGGGTAAAGAAGTAATTGGGAGTCCTATTTAGGGAATAATAAACTTAATTTTGTGGAATTTAAACCATGTTTTAGCCCTATTTAGGGCAATTCCTTAAAAAAAATAGAATAGACAATAAATATATCTCGATAGTTTTCTTAAAATGTACCGAGTCATATTCGTCTATCTTTACTATGGAATGGCTTTCCACGCGATTCGCTTATGCGTTACAGCAGCAGATATCTCCTTGCAAAATCAAAAATGATATTTGTACCCACTATTATACCCACTTTTGTACCCACCTATGTTTGTGAAGTGTTTTTTTGTCTATGAACTCCGATTCACAGACAATATTTTGCACCAACAAAATATTGTCTGTGAACCAAGTTCACAGACAAAAAAAAACTTTCACAAACATAGTGGGTATAAGGTGGGTATAAGAGTGGGTACCTTAAGCATTGTTGTTGTAAAATAGACCACGCATAACAGCAGGTTCTCTTGCTAGGAAACCATTTATTCACATTATTGCATCGTTGTTGAGTGTAAATTTTAATATATATATATCTAAATCTTATTGGAATATTTAAATTTAGAAAATATTAAATGTCAAACTGAGCATAGTAATTAAAATAATCATGATAGGATTAATAAACAAGTCCCCCCGCACCGATTCAAATACTTGATATATTACTCGTAATTGC